TCCATGAACAAGGGAACGTGCTTGCTGTCGATTTGTACAGAGTCCCACGCACAAGAGTCGGCTAGCTTCTGCGTGCCCACGTTCCGCAGTGCTGCAGTGCGTTCCAACACAGCAAGCATCAACAAGCTAGCTTCGTTTTCGAAAATTTTTGATTTTGAAGAAGTTGCCCTGCTCTTTCAGGCTCTGCTTCTGATGGGTCGGTGGAGTGAGCTTGCGGCTGCTTTCCAGCTCCTACTGAGCGGTCAGCAGACACCTGGCGAAAAAAGGAACTCCATCGCCGCCCTTTCAGGTCAGAAAATGGACAAGAGCTGTGGCAGTCCAGCAAGTGAGAATGCAGGACGCGCACCCCTAAAAGTGCCAATGCACTGGGGCTTGGCAGGGCCTAAGCTTTCCCTCCTTCCAATGTATGGAGGTGAGTTGCCAAGCCAGAAAAGAGCGATGAGCCTGATGGGGCCTCCAATTGAGCAAGTGGAACAAGATCTTCTTCCAGTTGTATCCATGTGATCCGCTAGGCTTTCCAATACACTTTGGCAGATCTCATTAGATTTGGAAATGCTGCGTGAGATTCCTGCTGCCGGGCAGCAAAAGAATCTCTTACTTTTCTGGCTTTAGAAGATGCACTTAGCAGATTTTGGCGTTCACCCTGTCACATTTTGCGTCACCTGCGACAATCACATTGCTTCTGAGCGAATGAGACAGCGCAAACGGTGATTAGTTTTCTCAATGCAACTCTCTGTTTGGTCGGTTCGTCATTCTGTTCCCAGACCACCAGCGGTAACGTTGCGCTTCCTCAGCATCCCAGAATTTTTCAGCAAAAAATTGATCGCACGTTTTGTACAGGCATTTCTCGCAGTTCATACTCTCCTGCCTTGTTGGCCTCACTCCGCAGGATTGGTTGTGCACGTTGTGCAAGTTGATGTATGTTGTGTTTCGTTGCGTTTTTCCATGCTGTTCGCAGTTGGTCTAAAGGTCTAAAGCATGCAAACCTGTGGACAGATTGAATTGCCAAGAAGAGTTGCGAATGCTTATCATTCCCAAAATTTCTGCTGTAGAGCCAGCAACAGAAGAAAAGACCGTCTAGTGTTTGAGGACCCGGCTCGCAAACTACCACCTGGCCTTCATAATCACTCAGAAAGATGGAGAAAATATATGAACAGATCCTATCTTTGATTCGCGTTCATCCAGTGCAGAACTTTGTCCATTGGACTTAGAACCTGGGTTTTTGGGAGGCAAACTTCCCAGAATCAGATCACTCTGCTCAGCTGATCGTATCACTTTAGAATCTGAACCACCAAAACTCCAGATGTTCTGGTTGGTAGAGGTAAGAGCTCCCGCCAGTATGGGTCAAGATGCGATGTTGTGTACAATAACATGATGTAAAGTTGGGAGGGGAGACAAGATTGAGAAGCCTTGCAACGACTGGGAAACAGACACGGTCTAGCTTGGAAGACTGGCATCCAGATTCCAGATGGGCTCAAAACTCTGGCAACCATTTGCGCAGACTCCTGCGACATATAATCCGTTCAGCTTCTGAGGCAAGTCTTCCACAACTTGATGTATGTGCGATATCCGCACGTTGACGAGAAGCAGCAGCAAGCTTAGTGGAAGCAGAGGAATCAGCGCAACCTGTGGTATTTTGGTCTGGCATACATTGCATTCATACATGGATATATTTGGATATACAGCATGACAGGCGCCTTGGTCTCGAAGTCGATCGCAGCTTCAAGGCAGTTTCGAAGCCAACATCTGGCGATTTGGCATGGCTGAGGCGGAATCCAGAGCGCTTCTGGATCCCAGAGAATCAAAAAGTGTCACGACAGAGGGAGGCCGCAATGGGACATGACTGTGCAAAGTGTATGAGCTAGTAACAGCTAGTAAGCATTCTGAAAGACACGTCTTGTATGGTTTGGTCAAAAAGTGAACCTACTGCAAAAAATGCAGGGTATGACAAGAAATTCGTAGTAGCTCCTCTGTTACAGGAAGTTGGATTGATGCTGCAAGCAAGAGACAACAAGACAAGTGAGGAAAGGTTATGCCTCCGTGTAGGGGGGTATTGGTATCACTTTGGTGGACCCCTAACATTACGATTGTTAAATAATGTTTAACTTTTGTTTTAAGCAGACGTCAGGAACCATGTATTTGAGGCAGTGTTTTGGGGGGTGGATTTTGCAAGGCCGCACTTGCCAACAGAAAGATCAAAGCGAAGAACTGAGCTGGTGACCACTGCGATCAGATCAAGACCTTACCACGGCGGCTCGAACGCTTCAAGAAAATCCGTAGCTGCTGAGACTTAAGAAACATTGAACGTATTGTTGCGTCCCACGGGTTCTGGCACCTCTTTCTGAGTACTTCTTGTCGTTCTTGTTGCTTTTGCTGTAGTTGGGGACTCGCATTTTTGTCGCGTTGCCCCACCTTGCTCCTCTGCCATTTTTGGTACAAGCCCAAATAGGGCAGGAGTTGCTTTACAAACATTAAAAAGAATGTCTGGTGATGATTGGTGATGTGCATCCGCACTAAAGTGGGAGGTTGCAAACTCAATATTGTTGTTTTTTTTTTCAACCTTATTGACCAATTACATCGTGATCGCAGAGTTGCATCAAGCATGATGGTGCACACAGATGAACAAGGAACCCGGTTTGAAGCAAATTGCCATTGAAACTACGTTGACACTGCCGACCTCACAACTTTTGCGAAGCTTTTCCTCTTTGGAGGGTGTCTGCCATGCTGGGACTCATGTAGCATGCAGCAGACAAAGGACAGCTGAAGCTGAGCCGGGTGGGTACAGAGGTGGCGGGTTGAACTCTTTGGTCAATGCGGATGAAGTATATACATGTATATACTCTAACCGATTGCAAGACTCGTTCAAGACAAGGCACCCTCAGCTCTCGACTGGATGCATGTTTGGCTGCAGCTTTCTTTGTCAAGTAGTTTCCACCCAAAGGATTTGAAGCACATGTATATTATATAAATATATGATATTTACCAAGGTCGCAGATGATGAGACTTGACCTCAAGTATACAAGAGGTGTAATTGTGCCATGAAAAGAACAGACATGCACCTAGTTGGCAATTCCGGACAAGATGTTTTTTTTTGTATTCTCCTCATGTTTCCATGTATTCATGTCGCTCCGCGACGAAGTTCGAAGTTGAGAAGTGTGGCACGGGCCGACTTGGGCCTAACTTGGGCCAAACTTGGGCCTAACTTGGACCACTTGGCTCCAACTTGGGCCAAAGACATGGCTGCGCAGCTTGGGCTTGTTTGGGGGCAACTTCGGCCAAAGTTCAGCCCAACCCGGACCCATCGGGAACATGGCACAGTGCCAACCTCCATAGAGGCTGCAAGAGGTGGGACACAGCAGTAAAAACACTCGCTTTTTGTGCTGGGTCTGCCATGTTATCCATGTTGGGCCCGTTTTGGGCGAAGTTGCCACCAAGCACCATGTTGCACCTAACTTGGGCCCTAGCAGGTTGACATGATGTCTTGGAATCACTCCTTCGTGCTGAAGTTATGCTCCATCAGGCACTCCATGACCTTGACTGGCACATGGAACAGGCCATAACCAGCCCATGTTACTCAGAAACGGTCCATTTGGCCGATTTTATGACGACACGAAAAATGCTGAAATGAACCCAGCATGCTCCGCTGCATTTCACAGATGTCTCGCCACAATGCTGTCACCTTCAGGGTGGGCGGATTTTGAGGAACCACTGGTTAGCTACCGCGAACCACTGGTTAGCTACCGCCACGCTACAAAAACAATTCACACTGTGAACTTCGGCGCAACAACGTGGTTTCAACTTTATCCAGTCGAAACGCCAGCTATCAAATTTCATTCCATCGTGACTCGTATCCAAAAGCCATGCAATTAAATGCAACCCAGGATGGCTACAGCCTTCCTACAGAGACAAGAAAACCACCACAAGGCAGGATTCACTTTCCTGAAGATTTGTCATCAAAACGAACGACTTCAAGAGATGTCTCTGTACACACCACGCCAATTCAATAAAGAATACTTACGTGTTGCAACAGATTTATTCCTTTTTTCAACATGTACAAGGTTGACAGTGACGCATTCTCACCATCTCCTACCTGTCCTACGGTTGAAACAAGGGCGTCTTCAGCTTTGGTGGAAACGACTCATTGGGCCAACGCAAGGCTGGATCTGCAACGTCAACGTGTCATTGAAGTTGGAGAGTTCTTTTTCCTTGTGCTTGCGTCTTCGAAGGTTCTAGAATAAACTAACTCATGCTGCGCATGATTTGCCGTGTTCCTTGATGTAAATTGTTAAGCAAGGCTTCTGAGAAGGGTGACGTTTGAGAAAAATGCAGAACTGCCTAGAACCAAGAGTTGTGCCAGTTGTGCCATCGCAGGCCCGCGAGCCATGTTTTCTACCAGTGTGCTGAGTACATTTAAGTACGCATTCAGATGCAGCTTGGGACAGGTGTGTCAAGGCGCTTTAGCAGCTGGAGAGGTGCCCTAAACGTCCGGTGCTCAGGAGGGCATGTTCCCTGGCTAGACATAGATGTTGATGTCATCGATGTGATGTTGATTTGCGTTGCGATTCGAACATCGGATGAGCGAGCATTCAAGTGCGAATGGTATAAGATTTCAAGCAACCCAGTCAAGCCAAGAGAAATGTTGAAACTGCTTGAACCTGTGCCTCGTGAAGATTGACCAAATCATAAAGCTTGCTGACCTTAGGAACCCAACCAAAGAGTCATTCGTGCGGACCGCTGGTGTATGGGATACAGGTATGAATATTGAGTGCAGTTGTGGAGGCGCCAGTGATTTTCAAGTATGGGGATGGGTATTTAAATAATGTAAATACCTACTATCCACATTTATTACCAGCTATTTGGTTTGAACACCAGGTTTTAACAGTGTTTCAACTCCTACACACCCCAACAACTGTCAAACAAGTCGCATTTCAACTTTGGGACAACATGTCGGTGTCTGAATTTCATTGACTTTCCAGGACTGTGAGCGCACGAAGGCTGACATGGAATACTTTCGGCAAGCCAATGTACGGGACAAAATGGAGGCTGGACGCCGCTGGACACGGAATATGTTGGGAGCAGCAGCTTTCCAGAGGTACATGGATATCATGGATAAATGGATAAATGAACATAAATGATAACATATAAAGGTCTAGTGGATAAGACGCATCCCTCATGCGTCAGACCCGGATTCAATACCCGGGTGCAACACTAGGCGGACAGGCGGGCCACTACCCCACCCCTGCAGTTAAGGGGATGAGCTAGGGTGTCGTCCGGAAAACACTCTCACATATAAAACATAACAAGTCGAATGACTTAGATATCCTATCCGAAGACAGGGATTTTATTGTGATGGTTGGAATGACGAGCTTGCGATCCACTTCGCAATTCCAAACTTTCAATGCGGAGCTGAGCAGAGCTGTAGTTCTATCTCGTATCTTGCATTAGTTGTCAAATGCTGGACGAGGTCGCGCGGTTTCAACAGGACATTTTGAGAAGAGAAGTTCCCCCAAAACAAGCAGAAAAAGATAGGACACATGCTTGGACGTGCGAGGGGTGTTTTGAGCTCATTCTGAACGGCATCTTTTTTTTTCGAGCGAGTCGTATCTTGTGAGTCGACTCCCCCCGGAGGCCATGTTGACGTGTTGGTGCCAGACGCAGAACACAAAGTACAAGCAGGGCCTCAATGAGGCCCGATCTTGTTATGGTAACTGTCGGACTGCATGATGACGAAGCCACATGTGCATCGCACCATGTGGTAAATCTTTTGGAATGATCGTATATCAAGATCAGCCCAGTCTCATCTTGGAAGTCTCCATCCTCACTATGCAGATGATTTTGATCAACCTTTTTTGTGCAGTCCAGTGCTAATTTGACTATAGACCCATTGCTGATTAGCTTTGAGATAGCAACGCACTACTGTGAGAGGTCTTGGCTCCTTTCCTGAACCTGCAGCACGCCCGGCATGTTGGATGGCGTGTGGGAGCGTGGCCACGGAAGGACATGAACTGAAGTAGAGATTGTAAGCAGATGGCAATGTCAAACGGCGAAGCCAAGTCAGTTCGATTATAAGTGCATGGCACTGTAGATAATTTGCCTGTATTCACTCTCTTGGCAAATTGCGCCGATTTGGCATCACCTTGCCAGGGTGCCATTGTCCGGTGAAACTGATGAAGGGCGAACACCAGCGAAAGATGATGAGGCGGGAACTCCGACTTCTTGTTTAACAACGGTGCGTATGTATTGACATGATTGTACACGCACATATGGCATATAGAATGCACCGTGGATGACCAAAGAATTAGTGGCTGAAATCGGCTTCTACCACCACCATCCGTTCAGGTCTTCGACCTCTTCGCAGCTTTTGTGCAACATTATGCACCGTTTGGAGGCCCAGGACGAGGATTTCGAGCACCCCAGGTGACTGAAATCGTGTTTATCTAATCTGAACATTTACCTTTTGGATGTTTACCCGGAATCAGATGGGTATCGAGATCCCATCCCTTTCTCCAAAGTAATTTGCAGGTTTTGCAGTGGCGGAACATGGGAACAGCAGCTGAGGTTCTTCTTTTGTGAGGAATTTGTTCAGCTGCCATGAGTTGTCGGGGAAGTGGAATTCCAGAGTATTGCTGTATGTGTCCTGGCTAGTCAAGCAGCAAGACGTGTTTGCCAACGATGGCACCAGTTGCCAGGTGCCGTTGCAGTGTGCGTTCATCTTCTTCAGGCGTTTGCTCTTGTACCATTGCCCGGCAGCCCAAGTCAATCTGAACTTTCGCACATTTGTTGCAATGGAAGTGTATCTGTAAATATGTCATATGCAATATACACAAATTGAGTGATCATAATTACGTATGATTGTTTCCCTCTTGTTCAACTGGGTGGTATCCCGTGCTCAACAACCCCAACCAGAAATTAAGGCCCTCAACTTCAGAACTTCTTTGCGGAGAAGGGGGTGCCTGGGTCCTGGAGTCCTGGCTCTGGCAACGGTCACCTGGATGTGCTGAGAAATGCCAGCACCAAGGACCCCAGATATGCTGTGGACTCGGAGGAGTCAAGCTGTGTCCGCTTTGAATCTGAGACAATTCCTGTTTTTTTTCGAGGTTCTGCATGCCTTGGTTCCTCACCCTTTTCGCCAGTAAGACTCCCATGAGGCTGCAGCAAGCTGCTTCAGTGATTTTGCCTCCTTTTATAGCTTGTCTAGGTGCTACTAGTATGTCCTGTCCAAGAGCTTCCGCTGCAAAGCACACTACGGTTACCGTACATTTAAGAGATGACTATTGCAATCGTAAAGCTTGGAACTCTTGAACTTTCAGCAAAAGATCTTGATATCTCTTGATCCATCTTGATCCAGTTTCAGTAGATTCTGCAGAAAGGATGGTGTTTCTGCACACCTGATCTGATGGGCAGCCGTGTGGTGCCGAAGGCTCACAGTTCAGCTCTGGGATAGGTTGCTGGAACGAGGCGGGCTTGTTTAGGGCACGTGGGGAATCTGGGAAGATTTGGCTCCACCATGGATCCATAATAGACCTTTCTTGTTCTTGTTGTGAAGCTCAACTAGCTTTAGACTTTAGATGAGGGGCATGGAGGAGGGGCATGGAGGAGAGATCAATCCAACGACTCTGCCAGTCTTTTGTTGAACGCTGAGCAAACAGTCTCTTTTCCCCCTGTGATCTTTTCAGTAAGATAATCTTACAGAACACTACTGATAAGCGAAAGAAGTTGGAGTTGGGTATGCTTTTCAATCAGAGTGTGGAGTTTGGACGCTGCATTGTTTTTTTGCTTCATTCTAAGCAGCATAGAATCCCATAGGACCAGCAGTCAACTTGAGGCGAGCAACACTTCTTCATGTTCCTTGCCTTGGCTGTAGCTCTGGCTTGATTGTTCCAGTTTGACCCAGGGGCACAGGGTCCAAAGACTTTACTTCATGTACTCACACGGTATCGGAGTTTGTCGGGGTACAAGTGCAAGCAGTGGAGGAAATAGCAGCTACATGATCAGACCACGTTGTACAAGCCAAATTCGAGCACTACATGAAGTGAACAACTGGAGCCTGGCAACACTTGTCAAAGCAGGTGGTGATAAAGGCAGAGCAGGCGCAGCCATGGTGCTGCTCAGATTGCATATCCAAAGCACATCAAAGCACTTTGTTTCAGACACCTATCCAAAATATACACTCACCATAAGGTTTCTCCCCTTGAAAGAACGCAGTTTCATTGGTGATATTTGGGTACTCAACAGGCTCGCATGAAAAGCAACGCAAAACAGATCAATGCGAGTGTCGTGTTGTGCCCGCAGACCATCCTTCAAGCCGAGCGCAGCGCGCTCCCCGAGATCTTAACCTCTCTTGGCCAGGGTGACCTAGAGACCTTTGCCGGACCTAGGCTGTATTTATTGGAGCAGATTCTAGATGTGATGTGTGTTGCCCGACAGATGCGTGATCCGAAGCTTGAAACTGGTCAAAAATTGGAGACCAAACTGGTTGACATTGGAAACCAAAGGTGTCTTCTCCGTGAAGGAGATGGAGAGCCCAGCTGCCGCGTTTGTGGCGTTTGTGTCATCATGTTTCATCAATGTTTCCATTGCTTCAGTAGCTGCCAGGTCTGTGGAGTTTCGCTGGGGGCCAGGAAAATAGGATCTGACACCCCGATCCAGAGAGATATCAGAGATGTTTGGAGGGAAGTTCATAAAGCATACAAAATTTGTGTAAATGTCATATAATGTCATTGTAAATCCAATTATAGTCGTTATAAATCCAGAATCATCAATCATCATAAATCCACTAAATCCATGTAATTCCAGATGTGATTCTGTGATTCCCCACATTCCCTACCTTGGAACCCTTGGACGGAAGCCCAAGGCGGAGGAGCTGGTCATGCAGACTCCAGCCACCTTCATGTCTCGCGTGAGGCTTCGATGTGTGGAAAAGATTGATTCTACTTGTTCAATCGAAAAACAAGGGGCCCATATTGTTATTGTTATTATCATGATGATGATGTTGATGATGATGATGATGAGGATGATGATGTTGATGATGCTGATGATGACGACGATGACGATGACGATGATGATGATGATGATGATGATGACGACGACGACGACGACGATGATGATGACGAGGATGACGATGACGATGACGATGACGATGATGATGATGATGATGATGATAGTATATGTATATGTATATGTATATGTATGTGTATGTGTATGTGTATGTGTATGTGTATGTATATGTATATGTATATGGAATTGAGATGTTCTGGATAGACCTAATCTTGTCAATCTTGTCAAAACGGATGTAATGATTGAAGATTCTGCAAGCAGGATCAAACTTGACCTGAAGCACAGCAATAAGAGTGTTTGAAGCGACCGCAGGCGAATCGTGTTGCACCCCGAGGAAAAGGACCCTTGAAAAATGATGCGGTTGCGATGTTCGTGGCTGCTATTGCTAAAGGGATTGCTAAGCCATTCCAATTTCAGTTGGGGCCGAGGAGCTTCCACAACTGGAACGGCTGGAAAAGGACAGACCCTTTTTGGGAGCACTGGGAGAATTTGAAGGGGGCTCGAGTTTTGAATGCTTCCGAGGGAGTCTTTTACTATTGTGACGTTGGTGCAGGAGGGAGTATTCTTCATTTTCCCAGAAGAGGTGGTTGGTGAGATCCTGAGCATTCCTATATTCCAGGCCAATGAGATGTCGCCGTTTTGCCAATGCCAACGCCACGACGGCAAGTTGAGGTCATTGCTATCCCCCAAGACCTGGAGAGGCCTGGAGTCAGATCCAGGATCGATGCTGTTTGGCAAAGGGCGGCAGGGCTTGATGTCAGGCATTGAAGCCTTGGCAGCCTCCACCCAGCTGCAGGGGCACAGAGTGTGACAAAGATCAAAGGAGTTTTCGTGGTGACTGTGCAAGAGTCATCAGCAATGAAAATCGATTGATATCTATTGTAGATCCATACTGTATATCTATCATATGTAAAGGAAACCATGTTTTTGAACCATGTATAGCCATATTCGATAGAGTCCATGTTTTTCCATTTTTTTTCAACCACAGGGTAGAACTTGGCCCGAGGCACCTGGCGTTTGCTACTCCTTGATCTTCGCCCGGCTGCTGAGTTTGAGGTGCACAGAAGTTGGTAGGAGGGATTCAGAAACAGGTGATATATTGGTGATATCATGTCCATAAGAATACATAAAAGTAATACAGATGGAAATTACTTGATCTATCTTGATCTTGCTTTGCTCCGCAAAAAAACACATGCAATGCTCATTTTGGCACAAACTCACCACTTGTCTCTCTGGCGACTTGGGAAGTGTAGTCTAGCGTGGTCTGTTTCGGCCTTCGCAATTTGCCCAGACCAGGCAATGCGGCTGCCTGCAGCTGTCCACTTTGATGCTGCTGCACGCTTTCCACAGGTGCGATTTCCATTTCCATCAATTTCAATGAGGTTGTCAAGGAAAAAACTTGGGCCTGACCCAACCTGTGTACCAAATTTTCCATTGGACACTTCCTATTAAAAACTGCGTGGAGCACAGAAGGCGGAACGGGTTCCTTCACATCATGGTTGAGCCAGGTACTCGTGCTGGATCATGACTAGGGGCTAGGGGTGTTGCTGGTGCCATGGGCAAATGATCCCCGAAAAATTAACTCCTCCCTGGCATCAAACTTGCGCCCCCTGTGCAGTCTTCCTGGAGTGGCAGGTGCGTTCCGAAAAGGGTTGGGGGGGATCCCAAAGCGTTAGAAGAATTCAAGACACCGATAGATCTGCATATTTCGGATGGGTCCGCAACATGCAGGAAAGATCCACGAAATAATGGGGAAATATATAATAGGGACATAATAGGGAACAAATAAGGACATAGTCGGGAAATTATAGGGAAAACATAAGGAAAAAACAGGGAAATAATAGGGAACAAATAGGACATAAATAGGGAAAAATAGGGAGATAATTGGGAAAAAATAGGGAAATAATGGGGAACAAATAAGGAAATAATAGGGAAGCGGGAAGCATCAGGGAAATAATAGGGAAATATATAATAGGGAAACAATAGGGAAAGTAATAGGGAAATAATAGGGAACAAATAGGGAACTAATAGGGACACACTAGGGAAATAATAGTTAAATAATAGGGAACAAATAAGGACATAATAGGGAACACATGGGGAAAAGATACATACTGTAATATGGACATAATACGGACATAATAGGAAAATAATAGAAAAAACATAGGGAAAGAGCAAATAGGGAAACATGGGGAAAAAATAGGGAACAAATAGGGAACAAATAAGGAAATAAGGAAATAATAAGGAAACAATGGGGAAATAATAGGGAACAAATTGGGAAAACTTAGGGCAAAAATAGGGAAATCATAGGGAAATACTGTAATATGGAAAGAATAGGGAAAACATGGGGAAATCATAGGAAAAAAAAGAGAAGAACTCTTAACCAGAGATGAGTTTTGGACGTTTTTGGTCCGTGGCAGGGAGTAGCATACTGATACATGTTATGCATTGTTCGCATTCTTTCCAGTTGTAGCTGTAGGAAAGCCGCGCTCTTCACCAAAGGAAGCAGTGCCCCGGAGTGGCGACCTCAGGTGATTTTCCGGATTTTCCAAGCCTTTCCGGTGTTTCATCCATTGAATCTCTGAGGTCTTCTGAGGTCTTGGACGCCTTGAAGGATGGCTGACAGGGCGCATGCAGAGTTCATCTTGCGAGATCCGGACTGATCATGAACATCGAAACAAAAAGAATGATCCAGCCGAAAAAAGGATTATAAAAGTTATATACAGATATATACAGTATATAACAGTATATATATATATAACTATATGTATATATATAAATACATAGTCCATCAACACTGGGGTTTAAAGAAAACCCATGAGATGGAGATGGGTACTAAATGGGGCAAAACTCCCACTGCTGAAACAATTTTCCAGGAGACACTGGGAGAAAATTGGTTGGGAGATGATCAGGCTGATCTGTGAGTCAGAGCCGGAGATGAATTGACACATTCTGTGACCACGAACCTGCATTGATTTGATAGTTTGATACTTGAAATTGACCAAAAGTACTAGGTCAACAGATTGACCGTGAACTTTACCATGAACTCTCATCAATTTTCAAGGACAGCGCATGCGAGTTTTTTCCTCTGATATCAGAAGCTTCAAAACTGGGGAACAATAATTTAAGATCATTCAGGTCAATCAAATATCAATTGAACAAGCAGCAATGCTCGCGATCGCTAATGTACTCTGGGCACAGGCTGGCCCAAAAGTTGAAGACATTGCATGGTTGCTGTGCCCACTCCATTTGGTGCCATCTAGGCCCAGGCAAGTCCTGAAATGCGAGTCTCGGCAGGCCCACATTTGCCTGGTGGGTCGGTCCGAAGAGTCCTGGCTGCTACGGGCGATGTACACAGTCGCGTGGCCCAGAAAACGCAGCCTTGAAGCTGGAGATGTTCAGACAAGACTTCTTAGTTCAAGTGCCAAGTGCATTCCATCTACTATACAATCAATACAATCAATACAATCTACGTATATCTACATAATGACCCCTGCCAGACCTTTCTTGCCGATTTGAAGCTGGTTTCAAATTCCAACCGTTCCTGTATTGTTTTTATCCTCTGAGGTATTGACCTCAGAACTGTCCTTGCGACACATCTCAGTAGCCAGTGGCGGTTTCGAGGCAAGGGCGGGCAAGTTGCTCCTACGTGTGAAGAATGTTGGGTTCTAACTTCAACCTGCTTTCCTTTCAGTGGCAGTGTATTCTGGAAATGGAAAATACTAGAGGCGCATGCAGGTGCTTGCAACTCAGCTTGTTTCAAGGAAGGTTGACGTAGTACTGCAGCTCGAACTTGCAGGCAGTACTCAAGTTTGCCCAAAAGTACAGCTATGACATTGTCCAACAAGAGCGCTGGTCACCCGTTGGTGCATTTGACAGTGTCTTGAGGCAGGGTGTCAGCTTGGGCCCCTTCGTCTGACACTGTTCTTGCCACCAGATGATACGGAGTATTTTTTCGACAATATATCAAACAGTTGGGGGACGGTTCTTTCCGAATTTCTTTTCTCCAAGTTCAAGTGGAACAAAACCCCACACAAAACATGTGCTGAGCTTGATTCAAACGTGATTGTGACACTTTCCTCAAACCTACTGGGCCGAGTCAAAAAAAATGAGTCTTCATTCAGTCACCAACCGGACCCGCCCTGGGGCAACCCTGGCGAGGCCGAGGGCTGGTCCTTCAGCAGCATCACTGGCAGCTGAAAGTGCGGCAGTGGCTGCAGCTGCAGCTGAAGGAGCAGCCAAGAAACTCTCCAGTGGTTTGTCCTTGTTGCCAGCAGCCAAGCTGTGAACACCCAGAGATTTCAGTATTTTTTTGGGGGTGGGGCCAAGTTGTTTTTCTGGTAGCATTTAGCTTTGAGAACAATGGAACCAGGTCAGTTTACGTCGGTTTTGGATGATGATTGTTGCGTTTGAAGTGCTGAGGGCGAACCTGTCAGCAAAGAGGGAGGAAGGTGCGTACACACAGTTGGGTGAGGAGGGTTGAAGTTCCACAAACGGCTTTGTCCAAATCATATGAAGCAGTTGACTTCCGCAAGTCCCCTTCCGGATGATACCAAGGCTTCTTTCGTCTGCAGACCATGATTTCATGATCTTCAGTCATCCTACATTCACAATCCCAAAGTCTGAGCTGGTGCTTTCGTTCTAGGCATTCTGCATGTTTTTTTTTACGACTGTCCATCTTTCCAGGAAAAACAGAGAAGGCCACTACGCCTGCAGCTGTGCGTTCCCCAGCTGATGCTCAATGCTACTGAGTTACACAGTCCCTGTGTCAATGTGTCACCTCAACTGATTAATTATGAGGGTTTCCGAAAATTGGGAACCCCAAAATGATCCCACATTGATCATTGGAAAGCGGAAACCAATGGTTTTGGGGCACCCCAATTTTCGGAACTCTGCATGCGCTGCTCCCAAGGCCATCCCCAAGCTGATTGACCGGCCTGGAAACTGGCTCGGTCCTGAGCGAAGCATTTCTCAGAACTCTTTACCTTGCTGTTTCAACATCTCCATCCATTTTGGGGTAGAAGTTTGAGGGGTTGACCTCTCAGACTCTTGAGGCCTTGAGATATCTTTCTTTGATGAATCTGCATCTTTGCAACAAGAGCGGGAGGTGCGTGGAGTTGCTGTGCCCTCTGGAGGTCGCCAGAGGCAGACATGAGCCAGCTGCCAAAACTCTTCCAGAAGGACAGGGGCTCCAAACTTGCTGGGTGGCGATTGGTCTATGATGACATAATGACTTTGTCGTTTCAACCACCTACCGCCTCACCTTCCCACGTGCATTGCGCTGAAAGCTGCTGAACATGAACTCCAAGCTGCTCCAAGCTCATGCAGGACTTGCAGTCTGCCTTCTGGCACTACAACGACTGCATCGCTCTGATTGTAAGGCTGCTGAGCTTGTTGGGCTGTGTGGCTCTGTGTCGTCTGTCAAGCGGCTGCAATTTCCAGATCTCGAGCAGCTTGAAAAAGTTGCAATATAGGCTGCCATATGAAGATCAAAAGTGATGAACGCTGTTCCGGCCAGGGAAGTGAACCCAGAATTTCTTGCATGGGGAGCTAGAAAGAGCCACTTGTGTGAACTTGCTTCCAGTACTCTACTTCTCTTCTGAGCCTGAACAGCTGGTCCTCGTCTTCATGGCTATAAAGCTGAAGTCATCCAGTCTCCAATGTTGGATTTCTTCAGATCAAAGTGAACACTTCCCGTGTGAAACTCCCAGCACAAGTGCCACCAGTGGACAGGCCACCCAATGCAATGTGCCCTGAGCTCACCAACAGAGGAGTACTCAGAGCAGATCTCAAGTAAAAACTTGCAAGAGTTTGGACTTCGGACTTTTCTGTGTGTCTCAACATGGTGTCTATCCCCTAAATAGCAAGGCAATATATATATATACGTATATATATACATAATATAATATAATAATAATAATAATACAGTAATAATAATAATAACAACAATAATAATAAATGAATAAATAAATATATATATATATATATTATGTATATATATATATATATTATATATACATATGATATGTATATATATATGATATGTGTATATATATATTATAGTATTATATTTCATTAATAGGGAAAATGGCTATTAACCAGCAGATTTAGGGGTAGCCTATTTTCACACTCACCCATTGCTGGCTCCACTGGTGCGAGGACTGCAGGGCTGCAAGAGCGTCCTGGCAATCCAGCATGGGCAGCTCTTGTGTGGCTCAGCTAACTTTGTGAATCCTTGGGCCTACTCTTGTTGTTTCTAGCGTTGTACTCTGTATGTGATCAGTTATGTGATCTATAGCACATACATATATATATATGTTACATTGTAGACATTGTAGACATTGTAGACATTGTAGATAGACATTGTAGACATTGTAGATAGACATTGTAGACATTGTAGACACTGTATACACTAATTGTTACACACTGTACTGTACATATACATTCATATATGCATGCAACCGCCCTGCTCAGGTGCCAAAGTGTTGGGAGAGGAGCTGTCCTTGCTGGCTAAGTTCGATGTCCGGATGCTCGTTCGAGGTTTGCCTTTCTTATAATAACTCCACCGAAACAGGTTTTTGTTGTGCCAATCACCCACGGGGAAATCAGCAACAAGAATGGGTATGAAACGGATTGCCCCACAACATGGGATGGTGCAATGTTTGAAATGCCACAATTGTGGCTTTCATGATCTGATTTTTTGACACTCAAACGTCCACAAATAGAAGCAGATTTTCAGTAGCAGAGCTTGGTGGGATCAGCCCCGACCTCCAAGGTGCACCAAGTGGCCAAGGCGCGTAAATGCTATTCTGAGGGGTTGGACCAGAAAGAATATCTTAATCAATAATTTAATATAAATTAATATATACAAATATATACATATATAGATCATGAAGTTAATACAGATTTGACTGTCTAAATATGTATATATATAATAGACATAGACGATGACTATATCATATACCCATATAATATATGTAATAATAATAATAATAATAATATATAATATATAATATATATATATAATATATATATAATATATAATATATATAATATATATATAATATACAGGTATGTACACTTTGTAAAAACGGTTCTTTTTTTTGAGATCCACGCTGACGTATACATGGTTTATGTTGCAGGTTGTCCCAATGAATTAGACAGTGAGCACATAACATCGTTCAACCGAGGTCACTTCGAAGAAGACAATGCCTCAGACAGCTCATTTCCACATTGACAAGGAGAGTTGAAGCAGACATTCATTGTTGCTTTGTACAGCCAGGAACTGTGACATTCGGATTCCTTTGAACTATGCATGAAAAAGAGAGAGAGAGAGAGAGGCAGCTTCAAGGCACTGTTTTTGGACGTGCTCAAGGTCAAAGTGGAGGGGAGGTGAACTTCCAGATTGAATTAATTTCTTTTCATGAAAGGATCCTTCAGCGGAGCCGTGGATGGTGGGATCCTGAACGCTTTGGATTTTTGGTCAGTGTCAAAAGTCGCAGCAAGTGACCCAAGGATGTGCCCTTCAATGGAACTGCATCAAAATTTATGGAGAGAAATGCGAAACAAACTGTTTGTTTCTTGTTGCACACATTTTGATTGAGATGGTGGAGGAACGCAGCTGGAGAAACATTGCAGCTTCGCAAGCTGTGGATGTCTACATCATATATGCACCACTTGTGTGGGAGGACTATCTACAGCAGTTTGTAAAAATCAGTCCTTCAGCATCCTGCATGTAGCCCACCTTTGCCACCAAGTGGCCGCAGAAAAGGATTGTCCAGCCTAGCTCGTCCTATGACAGCCAAGGTGCTCTACTTTTCAGGTGCAGAGAAGGCCGCTCTCCGTCAGATGCCAGTTTTGGTTGGCAGAAACCCAAGAATCGTTGGACCCAGAACACGAATCATAATTTGCTAACCCATTTGTCAATCCTGGGTCAACATTAGCTTCCCTCCAACTCCACCAGTTTATGGTCTAGGAAGAATTCCTGCAGTCTATGTAAACGATCCCAATTTTTGACCAATGTAGGGAATTTGTTTGTGTCCTTGATGACTTGTACTTGACACATTTCTTACTTTCCATTCCGATTTTGGAAGACAGTTTCAGTTGATTTCCACGTTTCAAATGCATTCAAGAAAATCGAAACCAAAAACTAAATTACGTATGTCTATTGTTGTGACGAAAATTGAAAAACAAACAGTTGGACATATTCCTGCTATGGTATGCTATGGTTATTACAGCAAATACATTGTAAATATCGGATACTCTCCCGATCGTTGGTGAATCTCCAGCTGACGTAGGTCAAAAGCTTCGTCTTTGCGCTGCAAGCAGCGCGAAAGGCGAGGCCGCCGGCGAAGCCGCCGCAAAAACCAGGGCCTGGAGTGCCAGAGCTTGGTGGCCTTGCGCTCTGGGGCGAAATCGCTAGGGTCAAATACCAAATGTAAAATGATGTAAATGGGTCACAAACAAAAATAACCAGTGTGTTCAAATGTTCATTTTTTGGGAGTTACTCTCCTGTACTCCGACTTGGATGCTGAAAATTGAGAAAATGGACGCACGTACTATGTTAGTGGTTTTTCTTACTTTTTCCAGTTTTGGAAGCGTCCATGTTAGTGTGACACATGTCACAGGTCCACTAACATGGACACTCAAACAGGCTTTTTTGAACAGTATTCAGCTAACATGGACGCCTTAAGAAGCCTCCACGTCCATATCAATGGAAGGGAGTGTAAATATCACCGGAAACAGTGGTTAGAGAATGTTTCATCCGTAAGAAGTGATGTTTATGGAGGACATGTAAGTAAATCTAAGAGAAATTCCCACGATCTGAGCCCACACTACTTGGGCCAAAAATACGATTGCATGGCCGATTTTCTCTTCCAACACCTCGTGCGACCTGCAATTGCAATTGGTTGCAGTTGTGCTTCCCAAGGCCATTGGGAGTGCCGGCATTTGCGCAGGAAGTTGTTGCCCAGAGACTTTCTTCTGAAGGTGCCAAAGTGGATTCCTTGAAAAAAAAAACACATCGGGACAAATTGACTCCACCAGACACTTGTTACTTTGTTTTTGTCAATGCTTCAGTCCAGGTCTATTTTGTTCTGTATTAATCAATCTTCTCGAAGCTGAGTGAGCACACCAGGCTCATAATGCTTGATCTCAGCCACATTTGCCAGGTCCTATGTTGCAGGAGAGGGTGAGGGAATCCGGGAAGAGTCTTCTGAAAGGTTTTCAGACAACATTTGTGTGATTCATGCCCCACTTGTTTCAATTCAAGAGTCCCACTTCCTTTTAGACAGCTTCATTTGTTGTGTCACATACTGTTCCATACAGAGAAAAGAATACACCCGAAAATACAAGTTTTGCATTCCAAGAACTTTGTAGACTTTAGGAGAAGTGACAGCCATTGCAGTGTGAGCAAGAGTCCATCTTGGAAGCCCCGCAGTAGCTGCAGCTCTTGGAGTTCCCTGAAGATACTGAACGAGAGACGGGATATGATATGTAGATTCTGTAGATTTATTTGATCGCCCCAGACAACACCTTTCAAGGCCTTTGTTCTAGTGACCGTTCTGAGAAGAGAAAGGTATGAGCACAATAAAGGTATTATACATTTGACAATGTTTGACCAATTCACTTACACTACGAACGAAAGTGGATGGATGTAAGGAGCAAGCAGCAGAGCAACCTAAAGATGGAGCTCTGCCTGATAGCCCCAAAGCTCATGAACAACAGGTTGGCAAACACTTCTTCAAAGCATTCAGTCTACTGAATAGTGTGAAGCACATGTATATTTACAGTGGGCATGAGCGCAGTGGATAGTTGCAGGCTGATGGGCAAGCAGAGCGACCTCAAGATGGAGCTGTGCCTGATAGCCCGAAAGCCAATGAACAACAGGTTGGCAAACACTTCTTCAAAGCATTCAGTCTACTGAACAGTGTGAAGCACATGTATATTTACAGTGGGCATGAGCGCAGTGGATAGTTGCAGGCTGATGGGCAAGCAGAGCAACCTCAAGATGGAGCTGTGCCTGATAGCCCGAAAGCCAATGAACAACAGGTTGGCAAACACTTCTTCAAAGCATTCAGTCTACTGAACAGTGTGAAGCACATGTATATTTACAGTGGGCATGAGCCGCAGTGGATGGTTGCAGGCTGATGAGCAAGCAGAGCAACCTCAAGATGGAGCTGTGCCTGATAGCCCGAAAGCAAATGAACAACAGGTTGGCAAACACTTCTTCAAAGCATTCAGTCTACTGAATAGTGTGAAGCACATGTATATTTACAGCGGGCGTGAGCCACAGTGGATGGTTGTAGGCTGATGAGCAAGCCGAGCGACCTCAAGATGGAGCTGTGCCTGATAGCCCGAAAGCCAACGAACAACAGGTTGGCAAACACTTCTTCAAAGCATTCAGTCTACTGAACAGTGTGAAGCACATGTATATTTACAGTGGGCATGAGCCGCAGTGGATGGTTGCAGACTGATGAGCAAGCAGAGCAACCTCAAGATGGAGCTGTGCCTGATAGCCCGAAAGCAAATGAACAACAGGTTGGCAAACACTTCTTCAAAGCATTCAGTCTACTGAATAGTGTGAAGCACATGTATATTTACAGTGGGCATGAGCGCAGTGGATGGTTGCAGGCTGATGAGCAAGCAGAGCGACCTCAAGATGGAGCTGTGCCTGATAGCCCGAAAGCCAATGAACAACAGGTTGGCAAACGCTTCTTCAAAGCATTCAGTCTACTGAATAGTGTGAAGCACATGTATATTTACAGCGGGCGTGAGCCACAGTGGATGGTTGCAGGCTGATGAGCAAGCAGAGCAACCTCAAGATGGAGCTGTGCCTGATAGCCCGAAAGCCAACGAACAACAGGTTGGCAAACACTTCTTCAAAGCATTTAGTCCATTTTATTGAATTGTGTGAAGCACATGCAATCTTTGTTTACACTGTCGGTCACAGTAAATGTTTGCTTGTTCAGGAGCAAGGAGAGCGACCCAAAGATGAAGCTGTGCCTGATAGCTCCAAAGCGGATCAACCGAAGGCCAGCTCGAGTTTAGACTTTTTTCAAACAGCGGGTTGTAGATTTTCGCAAACATACTTGTGGTTGAAAGCTTTCGAGCTCTTGCAAAAGTCCATGATTCTTCACCTTGCGTTTCTTATCGTGATTGAGTTTTTTCCTTTTCAGGCAAATTCCCATCACAATCAGGAGATCATATTCATATTCATAGAACCTTCCATGATCTTCGCGCAGGTCCCTGGCAAAGACGCTGAAGATATACTTGATGGATGACACACCCAAAGAATTGGTGTGAGATTGGATCCCGAAGGGCCAGCAATCTTTTGAACTACTTTGCGAAATGTATTTGACCTTCAAATTTCTGCTACATTGCTACATTCAGCATCAACTTCACATGTCAAAGGTTTTTGTGGCACGACTCTTTCAACACGGCCTGAGCTCCGTCGGTTCCAGCGGGTCTCAACTCTCAGCTGTGTGCATCTTGACCCGCGCAAAAAGCATGAGCTGCGCCCGGTCAATGATTCTACCAATGGCCACCACTTTTTTAAAACATAGTTCATCGATGTTCATCGAAATTTACCCACTCCACCCTTGGAAAAACTTGGAAAAAATGACTAAGCATGATCAGAAAGGCTGTTTGGCAAAAAGAGGAAGGTCATTGCAATGAGCTGTGTATCCACAGGTAAAGCCCAAATAATAAGACAAACACATCCTGTGACTTTTGTCAATGTTGCTGCTGAGAAGAAAACAGGCATTGCATTCTGTAGCCTCTCGGCTGAAGCGGATTGGGCGGTGATCGAAACCCTGTGCGAGCTGCCCTATTTATATATATCCAACACGCCTTAGCTCTATTACTTTCGGAACTACCAGCGTCTCTCGGTGAATTGGATCACTCTTTACTTTTTTGGAACTTGCATGGAAGTTGCAGGACCTTGTGATGTTTCTTGTCCTCTTTTGCAGTTGGATGGGCTTTTGTTTTCTTTGCAGCATCAGTGGAGAGAGGTTCTTATTTTCCTGGAGACAACTTGACCCGAGCGCCTGTGCTACTCTTGAAGTGAGAGATGGCTTTGGATGCTTTGGATCGGTTCACAAGTGGCAGTGATGGTGGATCTTCCCTGATGCATCTTCTGGGCATTGTCACCCTGGCAATCTCGGCATTCTCTCTGCACCTTGGCAGATCCCGGTGGTGATGAAGCCATAAATTGAATTTTGCACCATTTTGCACCTACACTTCGTTTTTTTTCTTCGTATCCTTTGCGCATGTCCTCCAAAGAATTGGCTTATGACAAAGGGGGTCCTCCTGGAAGCCAAATTCCAGAAACATTTTTAGACATCTTTGGACATTTGATATTATTTTGCTATTGTCGTTTTCAGATATGCGTTTGATACCCTTGAAAATTGGGGTTGTCATTTTAATACGTTTCAGATACGTATGGTTTTGTGATTTTGATATGATTTTGCTATATTTTGCTATGATTTTCAATCTGGTTCAGAGAGAGTTGAGGAAGTTACCTGTCTCAAAATCGTATCCACATCGTATCAAAACAGTACCAAAATCATATCAAAAAACCACATATTTTAGCAGCAAACCAAAGCATGAAAAATGATAGTGCCTTGCATTCTTCTATGGTTTAATATGATTTCGATACGATTTCGGCGCGGCTCCGCACACCCACGTTTAGCCAAACGGCAAGAAAATCGTAGCAGCAAAACACAACATCCTAAAGCCTTCATCCTATGGCCTTCCGATGCCATAAGAATTGGGGCCCAGCCATGGCATTTCATGGCATTTCATGGCATTTCATGGCATTTCATGGCATTTCATGGCATTTCATGGCATTTCATAAGCTTCTCATGACCTTACACGAAGCTATGACTTTGAGATACTTTGAGCCTTTCCACTGGACATCCCCTTTGGCCCCAGTGGGCCGTGGCCATCTTTAGGTGTGAGCTGTGTGGCTGGTCGCCTCTGACGGCGGCCTCAGAGGAGCTTTTGGTGGTCGCCCTGCTGGGTGGCCTGGAGGTTTGGCGCCGCGCCAGCGCGCCGCCGAAGCACAAGCTGCACCGCAAGAGCTGCGAGATCGTCGACGAGAAAGCGGAGAAACCAGAGACCCATAGCTGCCATAGCAGCTGAGATGAAACAGTATACGCTGTAATACGCTGTAATACGTTGTATAGGTAGGTGATGGTAGGTGATGGTAGGTGATGTTTTATTGTTGGGTTGGATTTTGGTGATATTTCAAATATCGTGCCAACACTGAACGCTTTTCATAAAGAATATCCTTAAGCCTTACAGAAGAAGGATGTGGTGTCCAGACATTTTCATGAAACCATACCAGGTGCATACAGCAAGTTGCAAGCTGCTGCGAGGGCAGCTGATGGCAAATTGGCTGAAACACTCTTTGCTGAGCTTCAACGTGGACCAGCAGGCAGGGTGCTGAAAATCTTGGACCCTGAAAAACAGAATCAGAAGATTGGGAGATATTGCATGAAGGGTTTGTTTCACTACCAAACCACGTGTTTTCAGCATGTGGCTCACATGGATAGGGATCCCTCGCTTAGAGAAACCAGCATTTGAATCTGCAATTCGGCTTCCTGCCCCGAGCAGGGAATGAATCCAAAATAACATTGCACTCCGAATTGCACTCCACGACTGCACATGATGTTTCGAGTAAAATAACACCAGGCTCAGTCAACGCAATGTGCTATGGCGCAGTGATCAATGCCTTTGCTCGCGGACGGAATGCCAGCGGAGCAGAGCGCTGGTTGAAGGCGTTGATTGATGCACCATCGCTTACACCCAATGTCCCTTGGCAAGGTGCAAATTCAATGGCATGGAACGGACAGCAATATCTGACAAGATGCAGGAGGATAGCTTCATGTTCCATGATTGTTAGATATTAATAGATATTATTAGTATTTGCACTACTGACCGTTGCGACCAACTTCAGTGCCCTTTCTGAGCTCTCTATAGCTCTCTACTTGCTCGGCAACTGTTGAGGTCATCAGTGTGAACATCGTCATTTCGGTCTTCGCAAAGCAGGGCAACGTTGGGCGAGCAGAGCACCTCGCTGTTGAGATTGTCACCGGGATATGTGTCCTTGCGCCATTGCGCACCTTTTGTTCCTCCTTATTAGAGTCTCATCCTTGGCACCCGTTGCACCGTTGCACGATCAATTGTGCTCAAAAACCAGCTTGTAGTCAGCTTAAAGATCTTTTTCCCTACACATTACCTAGGTCAGATGAAATTGATGGATACAGATTGTGGCTAGAGACAAAAGATGCGGCAAAAGTCGTGGCTGATGGTGGCTGCCTCAGGTATTGGCTGGAACAAATGCCGCGTTTGGGCTTGGACCCAGACGTGCTGAGCTTCAACGCTGTCATTGATGCCTGTGCCCGTGCTGGGGAAGTCGATCGAGCAGAGGACTATCAGCCTGGAACCACAGTAGAGTCACTCAGTAGAGGCATTGATCTACGATAATTACGCAACCCTTGGACATGATATAGATGATGCTGGTTCAAATGAATATATTAGAATATGTGTGAACATATCAGATACACATCGATTTTAATTACTTTTAATGAGTGAACGTTGTTGCAGCTTTGTTAATGCTAGCTTGACACAAAGTTCTTCCTGGAGGAGTGGCTGCAGAAGCTTTTGGCGGGTCCTGGGCCGAACCTCGTGAGCTTCAGTTCGATGCTACATGCTTGTGCCAGGACCATGGTGGGAGCTCAAACGTTTATCCTCCAATCACTTGGAAGATGTTTCCATTTTAATACAGATTGGGATCATGCGTAATCATTACCGAGTTATACCGTATATCCCCAAAATGGCGATTTTCATAGGGATAATCATGGTTGACCAGTGAATTGAGGGGTACCCCATTTTGAGACACACCCAAATATTTGTAGCTGGTAAACAGCAACAGCACCTTCCAGCTCTTGTCTTGGCACAGCCAAAAAGTTCATGCTTTTTTGAGTCAGGATAGGTGCAGCCCTTCGTGCTGAAGAATGGCTTCGGCGAATGGAAAAGCACGGCGTCAAGCCTAATATCATTTGCTACAATTCGGTCACTGAGACGGCAAACATGACAAACACATATAAACAATTCAGCCTTGATAAATATATGTAATACTATATAATGATACACATATTATATATTATATATATGATAATATAAAATACTATATATTATATAATATATGATAAAAAATAAAAAATGAAATAATATATAATATGATATAACATATAATATGATATAATATATAATGTAGTATATACTATAAAATATAATTTAATATATAATAAAATATATAATTTGATATCATATATAATGTAATATATATAATATATAATATGATATAATATAATATAATCTACTGTAATCTAATATAATGTAATATAATATAATGTAATATAATATAATCTAATATAATTAATAATACAATATATATATATATAATGTAGTAGTATATAAATATACTACATCATATTTAATACATCATATGTAAAATATATAGAGTATACAATAAATATTTCATAATGGTAAATATATATAATATAACATTTAATATATAATATATAATAGATGATTTAATAAATAATATATGATACATAATATGATATGATGTATGATATATATATATATATATACATATCTATGAAATAATCAATAATTTCATATAAGATAATGTGATATGATATGAGTTAATATAATACAATATGATTTAATATGATGTGATTTGATATAATATCATAAAATATATATAATACAATATAATACAATATAGTATATTTTGATACAATATAATATGATATGATATGATGTAATACACAATACATAATATTTAATACATAATATATAATATATGATATATAATATATGATATATAATATATATAATATATATAACATATGATGTATAATATATGATATATAATATAAAAACAATACAATTTGATTTACTTCAATATTATATAATTTACTATATTATTGTATAATGAAATATAATATAACATATTATAATACACTATTCTATAATACATTTAATCTAATATAATACAGTATATTATAATATGATATAATATAGTATAATAATGATACGCTATAATATAAAATATATAATATAATAGATAATACATGCATTAAAACTAATATAAACATGATATAATATAATATGATATAATATAATATAGTAAATTATAATATAGTATAATACAATATAATATAATATAGTATATTTTAATATGATATAATATATATATATATAATTTATAAATGATTTTGAATACAATAGAATAAAAAATAATTTTTGATATATTATATATTATATATTTTATATTATATATTACATATAATATAACATATAACATATGATATATAATATAAACTATATAATATATGATATATAATATATAATATATAATATATAATATATGATATATGATATATAATATATAATATATAATATATAATATATATTTTATATAATATATAATATATAATATATAATATATGATATATGATATATAATATATAATATATAAAATATAATATATAATATATAATATATAATATATATTATATAATATATAATATATAATATATAATATATAGTATAAAATATATAATATATAATATATATATATTAATATAATAAAATATATGTAATATATAATAGATCCTATATAATATAAAATATAACATATTTAATATAACATTTTAATATAACACACACATATATATAGTATAAGACATGCATTCTATGCACCTGCGTCAGCGTTCTTCCCCGTCAGAGTTGGCGCACGTGCTGCCGAGGTGATCTACGCGTGGTGTCAAGCTGGACACCTAGATAAAGCTGAGGACCGACTGACGATGACTGTCGGATGTCAGAGTGTAGACTTGTGATGCAACCCCCCTGGGTGTGTCCAAAGGGATCCAAGGGACAACTGGACCATGTGGAGGTTTCCTAAAATGAAGGTACCCCAAATCATCATGTCACCTATCTTGATTATTGAACCGTCCCATTTTTAAGAAACCCCCATGACACCTATCTTGATTATGATGAAATGCTGCAAACGGCCTGAAGGACTGGCTGAAGTACCTCCAAACGCGTGGGATTCAACCCACTGTGACAAGCTACCCAGATCTATTTCAGCATCTTTGGGTGCGCTCTTCTTAGATTGGGTCTATTATGATCTATTGTGATATGTGTATATATATATACACATAATGATATATATATATATACACACATAATGATATATATATATATGTATACATATATAATAATAATAAATCAATATATCGATGTTTTGCTCTCCAACATTTGCTTCTTCTTGGAGAAACTTTGCTCAAGTCATTATTGGCATCCTTTTGCAGGTGGGGGTTGCGGTTGCTTGTGGGCGGGTACATCTTTTTTGTTTGGCACCTCTGACCCATGCTGCAGGTTACGGTGCCATCATCAACTTTGTTGCCAAGTCGGGGGAGACTCTGGCCGCAGAGGGCTGGATCGATCGCATGCAAGCAGCTGGGGTGCGGGCCGACATTGCCAGCTACAACATGGACGCTGGGCCTGAAATCGCTTGCGAATGGCAGGTTGCAGGCTGCATCCAAAGAACTACACTTTCTTGTTGAAGCATTCCAGATATTTTTTCGCGCGTTTATATCTGTATCTATATCTATATCTATCTATCTATCTATCCATCTATCCATCCATCTATCCATCCATCTATCCATCTATCCATCTATCCATCTATCCATCTATCCATCTATCTATCTATCCATCTATCCATCTATCCATCTATCCATCTATCCACCTATCCATCTATCCATCTATCCATCTATCCATCTATCCATCTATCCATCTATCCATCTATCCATCTATCCATCTATCCATCTATCCATCTATCCATCTATCTATCTATCTATCTATCTATCTATATAATGTGTATAATGTTGAAGCATCCATAGGTTGTGTGTCGAAGCACGCTCCATGCCGTGGTTTTCGGTCGTTGAATGAGCGGCGGCCCTCCGAGGTGCTGGGCGCGTACTGCCGCTCAGGCCGCCTGGTGGAAGCTGAGAAGTTGCTGGAGACCATCTTTGCGCGAGGCCTTCGGGCCAACACCAGCAGCCTCAATCTCATGCTGCCTGGAAACCAACGGTCCTTAAGAGGATATCAAAGGTGGAAGTTACAGTGGAAGTTGGATTTTTCTTGTGTTTTCAAGGCGGAAATTGGATGGGAAGAGGTGATGATTTGACTTTGAATGAGAAAATTTGTTGTCACGAAAGGTAGCGTCAACTACCTGAGTTAATGTGCGTTAACACTTAGCACTCATTGTGCCTCGTAGTAATGTTTGGGATAAGAAGGAAATCTTCGCTCCTCTTTCGATTCCCCCGGACACGTGTAGAGAGTGCCCAAGGTGCCTGAGGCAGGTTTGTTTCATGCTTCTTTGCTCATTTTTGATTAGTTTGTCCACATAGTGCCCCAAGCTCCCATTGTTCACCGTCTTTTTTCCTGTTTTGAACATGCCCTATCTGAACATGTTTCCTGGAACAGGTTCTTCCATCACTGATGGCACCCCCTCTACCTTGCGTCCACCCCTTCTGAAGTTTGGGTACAGCGGTGGAATAGCGATTGTGTTCTGTTTGGTAAGTAGGAGAAGTGGCACAGTTACAGGCTGTGCCTGGCGGCCTAGCAGAAATCCAAAATGTCCAGGTCAAGTAAGAACAATTATATATAATTAGGATATATAATCAGGCTCTTGACCTGATCGCAAGATTACATGCTAGCTCTGATTCTAGACTCAGAATGATTTTTGGTGATTGACTATAGTTGATTTCAGGGTGGCGCTGGCGCCGACTTCCAGATTGACCGTCGGTGATTTTTAGGAAGGAATGACCCACCCGCTTCCGGGTCATCCATCTCTTGTGATTGTGTGGCACGTAAGGTTGGGCGGCTACCTTCGGCAGGCTGATGGGAAGCAAGCGTCTGCATGTGTGCGCAGCATGCGGCAGCGTGGTGTGATGGCGGATTCATTGTTGCTTGCCTTTCCAGTTGGGTTGTTTACATTGTTTGCCTGATTGTCTCCTTTTCGGGACATGCCAAATGCGGTAGCTGAGGAGCTGGAAGCTGTTGATGAAATGCGGCACGCTCTGCGCTGAGCCCGTCAGAAAGCAGATCATGGAGGAAATCCACCTGGGACACAGCGGCACAGAGCAGGGCATCCTGGCGGGAGAAGCCGCTCCCTTTATCCTGGTTCCCCACCAGGGGTTATATTGTGGGTTTCCATTGTATTGGCTACATGGATGATAAACCAATGAATCTATGTCAACCACTAAAAGATAGAAACATATTTCCAGGATGGTATAGATATGTATAGATTGTAGATGATGTTTTCCCCATAATTCCGGGTTTCCAACTTCTCTATTTTTTTTGGGGGGGGTTGCTGCAGGGACCCCAGCAGCTGGGTCAATCTTTCCCCCACGATGCCAGGTAGCGTGGCGTGCTTCAATGCCATGCTGTCCCATTGTGCGACCACCAAGGATGTCAAGGGGGCTGAGGCATGCATGGAGGGTTCCTTGCAGCACTTTGAGGGTTCAGGTACAGCTAAAGTTCAAGTCCAAAGTAAAGAGGAATTAAACACTTGACCCCTTTCAGATACATTTCTCATGATTCCGAATTTTTGTTCCGGAAGATTATCCCAACTGAGCACCAGTTGCTCAGGTTTTGAAGCTGCTGGCATTGAGCCCAACTCTTCCAGCTACCTGACTATCCTGGAGACTTGTGTCGGAGCAGGCAACACCAGCCGTGCTGAATATTGGCATCAACGAATGTTGGATGCTTGGATTGCATGGCGGAATAGAGCGTAGTAAGGCACAGGTTAGACGCAGCACAATGTTTCTGAGACTGGAGGAATGATGATGACGCATGATTGTGATGACGGTGATGACGATGATGATGGTGATGACGGTGATGAATGTGACGGCGACGACGACAACAACGACGACGACAACGACGCTGGTGGTGGTGGTGGTGCTGCTGATGATGATGATGATGATGGTGGTGATGATGATGCTGATGCTGATGCTGATGCTGATGCGGTGCACAACATCCCGGCGCAAAGGTTTTTCCTACCCTGAGAGTTTCTAGAGTGCCGTGTGCATGGGAGACTACACTACAAACACGCACATTTGCCAGTCCGGCACTGTGAGGACCGAGGCATGGATTGCCAGCTACCGGTGGTGAATCAACTCTTCCACGCCCTGGGCAAATTGGGCGACGTCGATCGCCTCAAGGAGCTTCTTGAGAGCCGCACTCGGCACCAGCGGGAAGTCACCGGCAGCATGTACAACGCACTCATCAGTGCCTATGCCAAACGAGGCGGATGCTGAAGATGCTGAACATGCTGGGGGGGGTTGAGCAGATCATGTGACTTTGAGTGTGGCACTGGACTAACGTGGTGACTGCCTGAAACCCGAAGTCATGAAGTCTCTTGCGAAGGTCTCTGAAACGAGTCTTTTGTCGAGTGCACGTAAGCCTGGCGCAAGCTAAAATGAAAGAATGATATGCGGGTTGCCCGGTTGCCACATGTTTTCAAAGCAACTCAAGTAGAGAACTGTTAGAGCATATCGCTGCAAAACGTTACTTGCGGGAGGGCTATATTTTTTTTTTTCGCGGCAGGTTTTGTTTTTTTTGGTTCCTGGTTCTATGCTTTCTTGTTTCTCTGATTTTCTGCTTTTCTGCTTTTCTGCTTCTCTGCTTTTCTGCTTCTCCGCTTTTCTGCTTCTCCGCTTTTCTGCTTCTCCGCTTTTCTGCTTCTCCGCTTTTCTGCTTCTCTGCTTTTCTGCTTCTCTGCTTTTCTGCTTCTCTGCTTTTCCTGCTTCTCTGCTTTTCTTGCTTCTCTGCTTTTCTTCTTGATTGCTTTTTGCTTTCCCTGCTTTTCCTGCTTTCCTGCTTTTCTGCTTTTTGCTTTTCCTGCTTCTTTGCTTTTCTGCTTCTCTGTTTTCCCTGCTTCTCTGCTTTTGTACTTCTGCGCCTTTCTACTTCTACTATTCTACTTTTTCTTTTCTTCAGTCATGTGTTTTTGATGCTCTACTTCCTGCTCCTTTGCTTCTTTGCTTCCTGTCTTTACTGTCTCTTTGTTTTTCATTTTCTTTTGCTTTATTCTGTCCTGTTTGTATCCTAAATGAAACCCTAGAGAGGCCCTAGGTGAAACCCAAAGAAATCCTGATAAGAAACCCTACATGAAAACCTAAATGAACTCCAAAGAAACCATAAATGAAGCCTAAAGAAACCATAAATTAATCCTAAAAAAACCATAAATGAAACCCTAAAAAAACTTTAAATGCCACCCTAAATGACATCCCAAAGAAACACTAAACAACACTCTGAAACAAACTAAATGAAACCTTAACTGACACCTTAGCTGAAACCCTAAATTGACACTCTAAAGAAACCCTAAATGAAACCCTAAATTGAAACCCTAAATGAAACCCTAAAGAAACCCTAAATGAAACCCTAAAGAAACCCTTGAGAAACCCTAAAGAAAGCTTAAATGAACTCCTGAATGAAACCCTACTGTAAATTGAAACCCTAAAGAAACTCTAAATGAAACCCGAAAGAAACCTTAAATGAGACCCTAAATGAAACCCAAACTGAAACCCTAAAGAAACCCTAAATGAAACCCAAACTGAAACCCTAAACGAAACCCTCAAGAAACTCTAAATGACACCCTGAATGAAACCCTAAAAAAACCCTAAAGGAACCCACTTGAACGTTTAGAAATCGTGAAAAGAAATCCTGATAAGAAACCCTGGAATGAAACCCTAAAGAAAGCTTAAATGAAACCCTAATGAAAATGAAACCCGAAAGAAACCTTAAATGAGACCCTAAATGAAACCCTAAAGAAACCCTAAAGAAACCCTAAATGAAACCCTAAATGAAGCCCTAAACGAAACCCTAAAGAAACCCTAAATGACACCCTAAATGAAACCCTAAAGGAACCCTAAAGGAACCCACTTGAACGTTTTAGAAATCGTAATAAGAAATCCTGATAAGAGACCCTACATGAAACCGGGAAAAAAACCTAAATGAAACTCTAAAGACACCCTAAATGAAACCCTACATGAAACCGTAAAGAAACCCTAAAGAAACCCTAAATGAAACCCTAAAGAAACCCTAAATGAAACCCTAAATGAGACCCCAAATGAAACCCTAAATAAAACCCTAAATGAAACCCTAAATGAAGCCTTAAATGAAACCCCAAATGAAAGCCTAAAGAACCCTCAAGAGACCCACATGAACGTTTGAAGCACCAAAATGTAGCAAATACCATGCAAATCAGAGGTTGAAATGCCAAAATATGACAAATACCATGCAAAATGGAAGGCAAACATGGCCAAATGTAGCAAATACCATGCAAAATGCAAAGTGACCATGCCAAAATGTAGCAAATACCATGCAAAATGACAGGTTCTAGTTCCAAACTGTTGCAAATACAAGGCAAATGGTACCGGGAAAGAAAACCAAAAAAAAATCCAAAACCTGAGGCAAAACATCAAAAACTATTCTACACCCATTACAAGTAGAGAACTGTTAGAGCGTATCGCTGCAAAACGTTACTTGCGCAGGTGATGTGCAAGAGGCAGAGAGGCCAGGGCAGCAGGGATGTGTTGTGGCGGCAAGTGACGGAGAAGACGTCAAGAAGTTAAGTGAAAACATGTGAAACCAGACTCTCCTCTTCCAGCCCAGGGCTCCATTTGTTCAATAGCAGACATGTTGCAGTAATTTCCGTGTGGGCTTTCGTGTCAAGTTGCTGCTGCAATATGCTATGCACCGTCTTGAGTCAGCACGTCCCATTCGTTGATGAAATGGTCACGGGTCAAAACATGGTCCCACTGCCAACCTTCCGATTTTTGGTCATTTACTGTCATTTGCCAGTGATTCAACCAATGATTCCTTGAATCTGGACTTCTTGACCAAAAATCTTCTAAACTTTGACCCCTTTCTCCGGTCAAGCCGACCTTTGACAGGTGCTTTGAAGATATGGTTTCTCAGGGCTGCCAGGGCGACGTGGCGAGTTTCTCATCCTTGGTCCATGCCTGTGCCAAGTCCAACCAGCTGCCGCGGGCTGAGGGTTGGATCAAACGGATGGAAGAGGCCGGTGGGAGCTGATGGGTTGATCCTTCAAAAAAAGGGAACTATGCAGAATTATGCAGATTAATATGGGTGGCCCAGATTTTTTTGCCACTTTGCCCTCTTGAGTTTGTTGTAGAACGTGTGAGCATTAAATCCTTGGTGTTTCTTTCGCTGAAGTCTTCATTTCTGCGGATTTTTCCTGGCGACCAGGTCGCCAGGCCCCCAAGAATCCAATGGGCCCCCAAGTTACTCTTCTTCTGCAGATGGGTTTGGAAGCCAATGTGGTGACCTACAACAGCGTGATCAATGCCTGCGCTCGCTGTGCCAATGGCGACCGGGCTGAGTTTTGGTTTCAGAAGATGATCCGTGCAGGCACTCCCAGGATGCGGGTGGTAAAGTTGGTAAAGGAAAGGCCAATGACGGTTGGATTCAACTGATTCAACCACCATTTCACACTGTACCATCTCAAGGATTCTTGGATTCAGAATGATCACCATCCCGAGGAAGTTGGAGCCTGCTACATGCAAACTGAAATGTGGCAGGAAAGCAACACATAAAGCTGTCTTCGTTCATGAACTCTCTACTGTGTATGAAGCACATATCATATATGTTTATCTGGAAGTGCGTGCAAACTTCACGCAAACCCCTATACCTTCGAAGACATCCAAAAGGCTTCAGCGACAAGTCAGAGAAGTACTTCATTCATCCAGGTACTAGGGCTTTTGATCCACAGCAACATCTTTTCACTACATCAGAGCCCATGCTTTTGAAATGCCTCTGACCTGCAGTATCCTGCAGTGGAGGCGTTCAGCCTGCATTGTTTACCTTCAACTCCCTGATCAACGCCTTTGTGAAGGTGCACCATTGCCAGGGCTGTTCTGGCTGAGCTCGGATTCCCATCAGTGAACATTGTAGCAGGTCTTAGAGAATTGTTGGCTTTTCTCGACGCCCCAGTGGGTCCATAAGCGGCTGGTGGAACTCAATTTGTCAATTATTGGGGATTCATGCGGATGTAAGATGATGTAAGATGATTTGACATGATATGATATAACAATATATTTATAACTAACTAATGAGAAATTAACATGTATCAAACCAATTCACAGTGGCTGCAATCAGGCGGGCCAGCGGGGCCGAGCGGAAGACCTTTTGCACAGCATGCGAGAACTCGGAGTGGCGGCGGATGCTGTGACCCAGTGCAGTCAAGGGTTGGATCAGCGGTTCGGGCAGCTGTTGGGCACAATGAAAAAACACCATATTTTTATGACTAAAACAGACCAAAATCTGCAGCCCCAAAGTGCTTGATAGACTCAGACTGGTACCTGATGAAATTGAGAATTTGGGGCTTCAGATCTTTGACGCATATCGCACGCGAGAACTGAAGATTCCCCGTGTCACCAAGGTTACATACAGCACATTGATCCACGGATGGGTCACAGCTGGTGATGTTCAGCGTGGGGAACATTGGCTGTTGAAGATGCAGAAGTATGACATCACTCCCAATGCCTTTTGCTTCAATTCTGCGCCTTGCTGCAATTTGGAGGTTGGGTAGGAGTGCTGCTTGAGGCTTTGCAACTGGTGATTGAGACAAACATTTGGAGAATTCAGAATAGCGTGGCTTTGTTGTTGTGGGTGGGAGGGTAGCCAATTTTTTAAATCACGTAGAAATAGGACCGACATAAGTTGCATGGCATGATGATCTTTCAAGCTTTCAAGTTACCCAGCTATTCTGAGGTCATTCAAGCTTGGTGCACCGCGGGACACGTGGATCGTGCTTTGGACCACCTGAGGGTGGCCATCGCAACCAGTGGCATCAACAAGTCGGGTCTCAGTGTGCAGCCTGTGCTGTTGGCTTTCATCAAGGTGCGCAATGGCGCCAATGGGGATGCGCATGCCCCAAACTTGGTGTTTCCTAGCAAATCCACCATGTGATGGCCGGCTTTGGGAAATTTGATTGCGTAACTTGACCAGTAGCAACTTCGGGGTTCGAGAAAGCGAAAAACGAGTTAATTAGTTCAAGCCCAAATACTGGAAGGGTAAGAGATCGATCCACGCATGGGTATGGTTGAACAATTGAACATATTGAACACAACCCTTTGGAGTCTTGGAGCAAATAAAATCAGTAAATATTTCAGATGGATTACGGCCTGCAGCCAGAACCATGGGAGATTGGACAATCCTAGTGACTTGCTGCAGGAAGAGCGCCTTGATGAAGCGATCTATTGGTCTAGCCAGCAGTTGTCGGTGGGGACCTGGGAGAGTGAGACAGGGAGGTTTGAGGGATGTGTGCGATGGCCAAAGAGTTACTCGTACTTTACCTATGGATACCTATGGACCTATGGTAATGGTATCTACTCAGGTGGTAGAGGCAACTTTTTCTGATGCTTGCAGTTTCTGTTGGTTTCTTCCATCCGTTATGAAGAGCATTAGTGTCTTGCTGGACTTACTGGGCTTTCACCCTACTGGGATTGTTGCGAACCACACTGCTGATGCAAAGCTCCGTTCATGATTTGAATGGCGCTCCTTGTTTCTGAAATCTATCTTCTCTGTAGTCCTGTCCAGTCATGGACAGTGAAATAGGGCGATGCCACTGACTTTGACGCTGAAAGATGCATGATGATGCATGATGATGCATGATGATGCATGATGATGCATGATGTGTAATTATTACAGTACGTTTATGCGTATGAAAGATTATGAAAGAAGTGGCAAGAGAATCACATCTCATCTGGTTCCACTTTGGGAGGTGCCTCGCTACGGTCCTGGCAGCTTGGCGCATCTTAGAGCTGTTCTGGAGGCCCAGGGCCGCACTTTTGACCCCGGCCGTGCAGGCCGCGAGGTGCGCTGAGTCTGGGAAGTGCTTCCCAGTGTAGACTTATAGAATTCTGACTGAGAATTTTGAAGCCCCCATTTTGGGCAGCATAGCTACAGGCTGTCACTGAATGGCACAGTGGCTTTAGATGGCATGGACGAGTCGTAAGGCCTCGGACACGATAAAGGCTGGGGAAGGATCTGACATGAATTCGAAGGGCCACCCTGTGAATTTCAGACACTCGCAGATCTGCTGGAGATGACGCAGCAGGTAGCAGCAAGGGGAATCTTTTAACAGCTGAGTTTCCAGTGCTTCAAGGTCTCCCTGGCCTCTTTGGCTCGAAGGACGGTGGCCTGATACCACACTGCGGCCGCGTCCCCATCCGATTAGCGAACCCATGGATGAAGGTTGATGACCTCATTGCAGCACTGACCTGTGTTGGACATGGTCGCATGAATTGGAACTTGTTGATCTGGCCTGCCAGGATGTCAAGCAGACACGAACATGACCATTTCAAGCATGCCAGTCTAACAGTCTAACATGTTTTTGGGCATATTTTTGCTGTTGGCATGCTGTCCCTCATTTTCGTGCTTGCTGACCTTACCTTGCTGTTGCTTGGCGTCCCCGCATTCTGTGGCTGTCGCCAAGCGGGCAAAGCGGGGGGTTGTCGGGGATACCAAGCCAGGTCCGAAGCGCCGGAGGAGGTGCCGAGTGAACTTTTTGCAAATGCTCATCAATGCTCCAATAACTCCAGAATTTCGAGAACTACTTGGTTTATTTCTGAGGATTTATCATTTAGATAAACGTGTAACAACATAGTATCTGTATATTCTGTTTATTCTACTCGCTGTTATCCATGGCCAGGAGCCCATCGCTAAGCTGCAAGCAGCTGAAAGTTCGGTATTCGCCTCGCGCTGGGAGCAGTTCACTCCGTATATAGCAGAGACTCGGTCTACACTCTACACAGACACAATGGCCCCCAAATCCCCAAAGGGGAGGGATCTATCATGATCTAACGAATCTAACTCCCCCTCATTTTTACTTTGATAATGTTTTGTATAGATATATATTACATTGATATGTGATCTGTTACATGTATTCATTAAAACATATGTATGCTATATATATATATGATTATATATAATTATATATAGGGTAAGTTTGGAGTCTTGGCTTAAAAGAAAAAACGAGGGGACTTGTACGGCCCATGCGGGCAGCTTTGGGAACTGATTGACGGCTGGATGACAAAGGATGGAGCTCGTTGAACAAGGCCCCGAATGGACGGCATTTGACTGCCCCTTCCTGACCAGCCAAGGAGTTCTGGGGCACCCTCGTTTGGAGCTCAGCTGTGAACATGATGGGATGGACTCTATACCAAATCTGGGTGCAGATGTCGCTTAGGTGATCACTGCAACCTTCCTGTGCAATGTGGATGGCGCTGGAACGGATCCTGCTTTCAAGTCCATATCTCAGGCGCCTTGGCAGAATGGGACAACTATGTTTTTTTGTTTGGGTCACAGTAGTTTAACCATTCAATTTTATCCAGGCTCGGGATGCGCCAATTTGGATCATTGCCAACAAATTGATCAGTCTTCATTTGACCAATGTTTCGGGTGGAAAGGTCTGTATGCCTCCAGCCTTGGGGCTCCCTTTGACCAGGCTTTCATGGTGATCGGGATCGCCTTGGCCTCGGCTTTAACCGACAATCACCGTCCCCTAACCGTCCCCTTGGGCTTGTGGGTCGGACACTGAAGGGGGGTAATGGACGTTACCGACGTTAGCCTCTGGGAGTCTCAAACATGGCAACCGAAAACCCGCCCCATTTATCCCATGAAAAGCTCCATGTCTGGATGGGAATTACCCAGCCAGTCATCCAAGGTTTCAGCCACGAAGCACATCACCGGGGCCAGCCTCAACCCGTGCCTTGGCCGGATGTGTCAAAAATTGGGCAATCACTGGTTTGGTTGGTTGTATGAAATATCCACATGGCATGCCACATGACCTCATGATGTTCCTTTTTTTGCCACTACACCGCAGGAAGTGCTGGTTCAATCCCTGGTATCTACCAACTTTTTTATTGTACCATTGTACCCTGCAATCTGCAGATGAACGCCCAAAATACAGCAACACTTGGTAGATTTTGATATGAGGGTTATCCTAGAGATAATCTAGATATGTAGGAATTATCCTGACCCTTTATTGGAGCCCCTATCAACATCTATCAACCAACCAGTATAACTGATGATACCAAAAACTGAGGTCTGTGAGCTTGGCTTTGGCCCTGGCTGGGCGACAGAAACTGCGGACCGCTGGTTTGCTGTGTGTGGCAGGGCCAGCCCAGTTTGCCTGGGGTCATCACTGGTTGTGACTTGTTCACTGTTCACATTTTTTTTTGGTGCCTAAGATATCATTAGATGTGTGTCTCCCAACATGACCCAAATGTCTGAAATAGTTCTTGAATGTTCTTGATTCTTGACATGATTTGATTCTTTTAGGCAACAAATTTGGGTCCGACTTTGTCTTTGCCCATTTCTGGAGCAACGGACCACTGAGGCCCAGATTGCGGGTGGGCTCACAGCCGCGACGCTGTGTTTTGAGGCCACGGCAGTCTCAGAGGACGGTTACAAATTACTTTTAAAACTGCTCACAAAACCAAGAAGAAGTATTTGTGAATATGGCTTTCCTAAGCCCTAAGCAGAGAAAGAGGTATCAGGTAGACAGGCAGAGGATTCCAAAGCTCCTCTAAAAGAATTTCATCAATTTCATAACACATGGGTGTTGTAAATACTTTCGGGTTCGGATGTGGGGGGCTCCTTTGTTTCGCAAATGCGAGGCGGGTGTGGCCAAAGAGCTGGTCCTCGGCCCTCTGAAGTTTCACAATTGGGTTCAGGCGCCAACGGTGCCAACGTTAATAAATTCGCGAAGGCTAGATGGCTTTCACTCCGTGTGCGAGAATGTTGAAATCTGTAGTGGGGAGCACTCTGGTGAGTCGATGGTTCCAATTCGATGGATTTCATCCTTAAAAAAGGCGACAGAGAGTGAAGAATTCTTGCATCGTTTCCAACTGTTCAGGTAGGTCTGTTGGAGAGTCTCTATGCTTGCATGCTTTGCTGCTTGTCTAAAAGGTGGGAAATTGTTGAGACTTTGGAGAATCCTGCCGGTGGAGTCACATGTGACTTTGTTCCACCTGTCTGCATTCACTTGATGTCGTTGACACATTTCAAGCAGAATGGAACCCGCACACAAGCTTGACAGTGCAGGTTTTCAGCGTTAACAGATGTTAGCAGCTAGCTGAGGCCTTGTGTATTTGAATTGCGCAGCTTCAACGAAGAACAACCCGAAGGGAGACCAGAATGGTGGGCGACCAAGGTTCAGAGATGTTGAGAGTCAGTGAGAGTCGGATTGGTCAGATTGAAGTGCCGGTAGCCTTTTGGATGTCTTTGGTCGTTTGCTACTTTGCATCGACTGGGGGATGACCGGTCCCCAGTGACCAATTCTGTTTCCATGATTAGTGGCAGACTTTTTTCAGGATCTTGATCTTAACTTTTAACTCTTAACCTTGGAAGCAGGAAGCAAGTGCTAGGTCTGCTAGGTTTGAAGATGGAACACATGTGATGGCGAAGGCTGTTAAACAATGCCTAGAAGCAGTTGTTTGGTCGTGTGGTGCATGATTCCTGAGGCTTCATCGGGATTGCGGTTGGCTGCTGCTTCTCGGGTTCAATCTTCGCGTCGCCTTTTGCTTTGTCCAGGTTCTTTTTGATCCTTTGTACTTTTGGCATTAATGAGTGGACCAGCAAAAAAACAAATCCATACATTCATTTTTTTTTCGGATGTATTCGATCTTTTGTTGAATGTATCATTCAGTGCTGCCAAAGTGCTGTTGAGGGATATGATATGATGCTGATACGGAGTACTGCAACCATGAACAATTACCTCGGGCAGAAGATCAAGATTGTTCGTACAGCCTGTTCTTGTGCATTTTACTTAAACATGCAATGTTCGTGCTGAGCTGAATGATGCCATGAAACATCGACAGGCCATGGCAAGTGTGCCATGGCAAGTGTTCCGAACATTCACCGCGGGGCTGGCTGGATTCACCGCTTGCTTAGGCTACTTAGCTAGTCACAATGCCGCAGAAGGGATTTGCAGCACTGTGGCTTGGCATGGTCGTGCCCGGATGAAATCTCTCGGGGACGGTAGCTGCAACAACAAGGTGATTTGATAGATAAATATAGATTATATGATATAATGTTTAATTTTATATATTTATGATTGATTATATATGTATCTCCGAAAGATAGAACCGTGATATAATTATGTGATATACAGTGATTCAAAGTGATTCCCTATAAAAAAGGAACATCTTGTTGGCCTTGGGGAACCACTCCAGTCATTGGCTGAACTTAGGTGAGCAATTCCGCAGTAGCAATCGGCTTGCTTGTTTATGGTGCTGGAGGGATTCACCTCTCTCATGGTTCCTTGGTGCGTTAAGGGAAGTGATGGGGAAATGTGTGTGTGTGTGTTTCCATGGTTTTTCTGTATGTATTTTTCCGTCAATTTCTTTACATCTGAAATCGTACATGTCATAGATGTACTTTAGCTGACTTGGATGACTGGATGTTCGTGAATGGTAGTAATGCCACGGGAGACAAAGTTTGCCATGTTGAAGGAGAGTTTCCCAGGGTTCATGCTCAGTTTCAAGGGAAGCGGGTCAGTTGCTGACTTCAGGTGTAGGCTACTTCCTTTATGATTTGCTTCTTGGATAGCATTAGATTATCACTGCAGACATAGTCTCCACCAAGTGTTCCTTTGTTGAGGGCATTGTTCTGCTTGTGTTTGCTACGCAACGCCTACATGCACAATGCTCTTCTGCAATCATTTTGCCAGTTGATTTCGACGACTCCATTTGAGAAACCAATACTGTAGTTTGAAGCTGTGAAGCAAATTGGAACATAAGAATCATAAGATGGTGTTGCAGACTTGGGTGCCAAATCGTTCATTCTGACCTTGCATAGCAATGAGCCCTTTATGCTCCGCCTCAGGTTGGGTGCCTTTTTAGCGGCCGGCATCTATCGTGTGCTGCGGCCCAAGGTCTTGTTCCCGGAATGGGTATCTGGTTCACACACGGAAGTAGGTGCAAAGCATGTCGGATCACAAAGCAATGCTGTTGATGGTTTGCATCCAGCCTGAATTTGGCCTCTTCATCACTTTTATATCAACGACCTGATGGAGACCTTCATGTTGCTACCACCTTTGTCACCAAACAAATCCGAGTTGTAAAGCATGAAACTGAAGCAACATCTGGCCTGCGAATTGGTCAAAATTGAAAACATGGCATGTTCAATTGCTCAACATGATCAACATGTGTGGTTCACAGGGCGTTTGCTTTTACATAATCCACTACCGACCCGAACCTGTCATTGGGGGTGCCTGAAAGGAGTTTGTCAGCTTGTCGAGACTGAATGAGGAGCTATGGTGCACAGCTTGATTTGAATGAAGCGTTGCTGTGATTTGAACTGTGAATTCCAAATTTGATCTATATAATTGTTAATTGCATTTAATGGCTTACTTTACTTAACTGCAGACCAGCATGAAATTCAATGGACCAATCCCAAAAGCTTTCTGTCTTGGCAGCCGCCTTCCAGGATAATACTCAAGAAAGCGCAGTGCTGGGTTCGGAGTTCATAGGAACGTTCTACATCGTCCTGACGCAGGTGCCAACAAAAAGCAGTCTCAACCACGCCGACCTATCAGGATCTTGATTGAATAGAATTGAACAGATATGAATTGAATAGATCATAGTCACATACAGTAACATCATTAACCTCACTCAGTAACCAACCTTGCAGCCAACGATAGCCAAAGCTTAGTGCATCCTTTGCATCCTGCAGGTGTCATCAAGATTGTCGGGCGAACAGGACCTTGGCCCTCAGGCCTGGGGCACAGCAGCAGCAGTGATTGCCATGGTCTGCGTCTGGAAACTCAGATTCCATGGGAAGAACAGCTGGGAATCCGCTGCAAGGCATTGAGGCGGATCCCCTTCACTGAGGATGGGATTTAGCCATTTCAAGTTTCATTCAAGCTTGGACTGCCTTTTTTTAATGGTCTTCACTCTCACCACGCTCATCTATTCGTTGGCTTTGTGGGTGGGTTCCTTTCTGAATCATTGAATACATCGACAAATGAAGCGGGGGGAAACCTGATGACTTCACAACAGTTGTGCGATCTTCCCTTTCCTGAAGCTGATGACTTCAGTGTTTGAGCTCAAACACAAAAGCTATGCAGTGGTACAGCAGATGTCGGGCTGCCATATCAATGTTGTGGTGAACCCTGGTGAACTATCAGGAAAAATGAGTCGAATTGTGTACATCTCCCGCAATAGCCACAACCCGCATTGCAGTACTGGGAAATTGGTTGGCATTGCAACAGGTTGGCACATCATAGTCACCAAGAGCCCAGCCTTCCAGCCCTTCCAGCCCTTTATATAGCCAGAAGGATTTGCAGCATGCAATTGTCATCACTAAGTCTGGTTTTCTTTCAAAAGTGAAGACTGGGAAGATGGTTAGACTGGTAAGCTGGCAGCTCACCCGAACAGAAAGCCTTGCAAGCATTGAAAATTTAAAAGATCATCAAACAGAGGATGGCAGGAGCGGATGCAGCCATGGGCCAGGCTCAAAATGGAGATTACCACGAAGAGGATAGCCCCAGCACAGATCCTGAGATGCCGCCTCTGATCCCGGTGTCTTCAAATCCAGCTGAGCCTCCTGCAGTTCCTCCGAAAACGGCCCGACAGCTGTTGGCTTCGCAGTTCGAAGCTTTGGCCCGAGGGCGCGGCCGTGGTCGGGGCCGTGGGAAGAAAGCCAAGTCCAAAGCGGCCAAAGCGGCCAAATCTGAGTCATCTCGGGCTGCGTCTGAGAAACCCACGGACCTTAGCTGCCTTGCCTCAATTGGTTCAGCTCCGATTTTCGTGGGGCCAGGTGCTGCAGCACCCGGCGCCTCGCCCAAAACCGTTGACTTCAGCCGTCGTGCTGGGGATTTGGCGGCCATGCTGGATCAGCTCCCAGCTCCAAGCCTGGAAGCAGTCGACTCCTCGCAGATCCCGCAACGAATGCGCTGGACTGATAGAGCTCGAGAAGAGATCGAAGTTTCTGCAGCCGCCACTGCCAAAGCGGCAGCAAGTCGACCAACATTTGCAAGTTGACCATTTCTTTTTTTGAAAGAATGTCATCTTCTGTTGATTTGGTATGGTAACCTCATGTCTGGAAGTTTGGAAGAAAAACATATTCTAAATTTTCGGAGAATTTGCTCAGATGTTGAGAGATGTTGGTTTCTGTTTGTATATTTTGAAACATTTGAACACCTGTTAATACCTGTTACATGTGCTTTGATCCCGCGATCTGACGAAGGTCAACAGGATGAACTGCTGAATCCAGCTGATCTGATGAATGCGGATGCATCGGACAGTGAACTGCTACTTGCTTTCAACATTTTTCTTTTTATTTTTATACCATGATTTATAAAATATAGTTTTGTAACATAATCAAATATCATATGATCGAATCAACCAGAATATAATGAAATATTATATAAGAAAAATATAGTACTCGTACAATACAGTACAATTTAACCCAATTGGTTTTAACATTTGAATGACACAATGTGATATCGATACAATTATAATGTATACTGTATAATGAAGTAAGGCAAATTAAGAATATGATATGACATGATTAATATAATACAATACAACGAGTATAATTAATCTATATAATATAATACACTACACACATAACATATAATGTACCAATGAAAGTTTTTCATTTTTCCCCCAATTTTTGTAATCGTTTTCAGCTCTTGAGCTGGCAACAGCTGCATTGTTTTGGGATCTGAAGTCGACCCAAGCTGAAGGTGAAGGTGATGTCGACGAGGATGAGGATGACGAGGATGAAGAAAACACCGCCAAAAAGTCTGCCAGAAGCTTGCCTAGTTTTAGAATAACTTGGACATTTTAGACTCCATTTGCTTGCAAGTGCATTGGATCCCTTGACCAAGTGGGAGGGGCACTAATTCTTCCCTGACAGTGACAAGATGAGCGCGAGATTTCAGGAGTACAGTATTCGAAGGTCTATATCTTTCAAAACAAGCAACTTGAATCAATGATAAACGATAATAGACGATAATACATGGTGACACAATGCTGATGTATACCACCATTATTCAATTAAGCATAGATATTCATAGATATTCACCACATATGAATATATATATATATATATGAACATATATGAATAGATATTCACCATTTATATACCCAATGTGTCAAATATATCATCCCTGGTCCCAGGATCCTGCCGCCCGGCACTGCGCGACCTGGCGCGGGAGCTGCCGCCAGGGGCGCCGCAGGCCGAAAGCGCCACAGAGGAAGTGCTGCAGGCCGTGGCAGCGGCCGGCGAAGGCCGTGGCCCCTGTTTTTTCGATGTTTGAGGTCATGGCTGAGAGATAAGGATAGAGCGGGATATAGTTTTCCCCAACGATATATATATATATATACATATATATATAGATAGATAGATAGATAGATAGAGTAGGATAGAGTAGGCTATAGTAGGCTATAGTGGGATATAGTGGCCTATAGTGGGATATACACTGATCTACAACGATTCAATCGTGATATCTGGATTGGTCCAAAAACAGGGACCAGTTCATGGACTTTTTCAAAGATCAATCCTGAGATTTTGGGATGCCGGCACGATGATTTCTCCATCCCTCTCCTGTGAGTTGATACCCAGTGGCGGCTGATTCATGGGGTGGGGTATACCCCCCAAAATGGCCATTCAATGGGGAACATTATGATAACGCGATTTTCAGACAAACCCATAGCAGGGGGGTTTGGGAACCATTGGACAACTTTGACCTGGTGATGTTTGTGAGCTTTGACAAGCCTTACAGATGCTCCTTTCGAGGCGTTTCTCCTCAACCTGGTGGCAGTTCCTTTGGTCCTCGCTTCAAAAACCTCTCCAAGCCATGATCCCAGGTGATAGACTGGTGATAGGACGCATGAAGCGCCATGAGATGCCATGAATGCTCGAAGTCACAAAGATATGCTTCGGTCTCCAAGTAGGTGGCAAAGCAATGAACAGGATTTGCATGGGTTTCCCCAAAGGTCTTCCATGGGTTGCCCATGGGTTTCCCATGGGTTGTCCAACGTCCATGCCAGCACCTGGGAGTTCACCGAGGTCGGAGCTGACGGTGGCGCGACAGAAGTGGCAGCTCCACAGTCTGGCAGGTGCAGATTGGCACTGCAGTGGTACTCCATGGGACTCCACTTGATCTCACTTGGTCTTGAAAATCTAGGTGAAAATCCAGGTGAAATCCCAGTTTCCTATCATTTGATAGTCTTTTGTTGCGGAAAGCAAGAGGTTTGATGCGTAGAAGTTTATAACATTCACAACCATATCCATGTGTAGGGATCATTCCAGACAATGAGTACATCATCAGTGAGTTGTTGAATATACGGCTTAGCCAGGTGTGGAGGCTACCAGCTCTGAACAGAATCGTCGTGCAGCGGAGGTGGGGAAGGGGTGGATGTAATTACAGCAAATCCTTTCCAAACCGGCTGCTGGTCCCAAGATGATTCTTCAAACTATGCGGGACTATGCGGGTACAGCAACATTTTCTGAAAATTAACTGTGTTTCGGCAATCAACAGGTCACTTGTCGAAACAATGAAGGGCAGTCCAGAACTGCCTCCAAGATTGATTTTCTGGTTCCAATTTCATTCACCTATCCAGCCGGGCTGATCCCTGGAGTTCGTTCTTGTGTTGCGCAATGCTTTCGTTGGCACCGGCAGCATGAAGCCTCCTGAAAGGAGCTCTTCGCTGCGTTGAAGGCGCGGCGCCCTGCCGCAGAAGCTGCAGCCGAGCCAGAGCCTGCGCCGGCCAAGCCTGTGTTCCGGAAGCGGGTCGATGCTTGGACCAAAACTTAGGACCGGCAGATCCAAGTGGGATGTAATGGATATATACTGTGTATATATGTGACTATTATATACATACATATACACACACATGTATATATATATATAATACATATGTATATACAGAATGTGGATATATTTCAAATCATATGATGTGTGTTTGTATCAGAAAAATCATAGCAAAACCCCAACTTCCAGTGCTTCATTATCATTGAGATGAGATGCACGGGATGGGCTGGAGATGGGATGGAATGACATGGATGCGGCTGCATGGGGATCCCCCAGTTTTGGTTTGAAACTTGATCTGAACCCTGTGTGCATTTGCCGTAGCATGCTATAGTTGTAGTTGCTACTCAGCTACTCTGGTTCTGGGTATTAGATGGGTATATATATATATATACTATACTATAGTAGGTTTGAAAATAGGGTACCCCTAACAAATAGTTGATCCAACATTTGGCCTTGCTGTGAAGGCACGGCCCTAAGGCTCCGGAAGCGAAAGCGGCTGAAGCGAGTGCGCGACCGGAAGCCTTCACTACGCCAGGCATGGAGGGTTCAGTGACAAGCAGATGGCCACGTCATTGTTTTTTTTTGGAAAATCAGAAATTTAATGGATAATGGCCTATAAATGGATGATTTGGATATATTTGGATCATCACCTCTAATTAATTTAATGGAGGGTAGTTGTTTTTTTCTTGTTTCCACCCCTACCCAGGGATGATGACCATCGATTGATATGTGTCAAGGGAAACCACCAAACACTGATGGAATGCCTGGCTCCAGATGTCCTAAAAATGTCTGGAGATTTTGGGCATGTGTGGGGCCAGCAAGAGATTGCCTTGATTTAGGGGAAGCATGCAAGGAAGTGCCACTTCAGTTGTAAGTTCATTTAAAAATGAGGTTTACAGATATCAGATATATCTACCATTAACGTCAATGATCCCAAGTTATATGAGTTATAAGTTGTATTAGCAGACTGTGCCGGTGCTATCATCCTGAAGCAGGTGTTCGCATCCTCGAAGAATGCATCGCTGGAAGAGGCCGCTGAAAGATAGTATGGAATTCACCTCAAGCAGTCCCTCAAGCAGTCCCTCAAGCAGTTCCTCAAGCTCCTTGCAATCATGGGAATCATGATGTGAATATAATATGATGTCATTACAATATCTCTATATAAAGTTGATACACAGATAAAATCAAAATCACTTGCGGTCATCGTTTCTTTTTGAACCTCTGGAGGCGCTCGGCGCAAGGCTGAGACGCTGCCCGAGAGCGCGCGCCCCGTGGCGAAGCGCCGGAAGGGAGCGACTTGGCCAAGCACCGCTGTGGGTTCCGAATGAGTTCGGGTCAGTTCGGTTGGGATCAGGAGCTTGGGCTATGACCAGTGTTTACTGTAAATGAATGTAAGTGGTTTGATAATGTTTCATGATGTGTCATGATGTTTGATAATGTTTAATCAGCTTGGTTGGATTCATGAAGCTCCAAAATGACACCAACCAGGAACCAGGGGCGAGCTTGCAGTCAGAGATTTGTTTGACAGGTGTTGATGGATGGGGAATCTATTTTGCTTCCAAGATGACAACAAAATTTACTGCCTCTAGTTCATGCAGATCCTATATCCTTTGGAAGAACATCATCCGACTCCCCATCGTCGTCCTTACCATCCTTTTCACCATGATCGTAGTGCTTGCCATAGTCAGAATGATCACAGCGATGATCATCACTTTCATCATCGTCATGCTCATGATTTTCATTTTGATCAGCACATTCTCATCCGACCATAGCTAGTCTTCCCAAGTCTCGATTTGAAGCTGTGCCATTAGGTGGTGATTGCCGGAGAGGATGGTGAAGATGCTGACTGATGCGGCAGAAGTCCGCGCGCAAGAAAAGCGATGTGAGCCTTGCTGGGGACATGCTTTAGCCACAACTTTCGCCGCGACCCGACAGGTCAACAACCATGATCATCAGAACAATTAACCATTTGTTAACGGTTAACCATAGGTTAACCATGACATCCCCCCCCTTTAACCCTGGAATATTTTTTTTTGGGGGGTAGGACAAGAATTTTCCCAGAAACATTTCACCTGACCACATGAAACATACCCCCCCACATGTTTTTTGGGCTTCCAAAAGAAGTGGGGGGGGGTCCTCTGGATGCCACATTTTAGCCCAGAGATGGTATGGCACACCCTTTTATTTTCGATTTACGTACATACATATATACATACATGCATGCATTCAACCAGGCCCTGGAGAGACCAAAGCAGAAATTTTTAGCTGAAACCTTTCTAGGTGTGGGGGGGGGACACACGCACCCTTTTTGAAATATTTTAGTTTTTACCCCCCCCCCACCCCCTCCTTAAAGGCGGGGATACCATGACTAAACATTATTAGTTAATATTGATTATTAATCATGATTAACCATTGGTTAACCGGTTAACCAATGGTTATTAACCATAAATGGGGGTACCCTTGGAGCCATCAGCACGACCTAAGGCGTTGCGCGACGTCTCCGGAGCACACTTCAACCCAGCTGTGACGCTGGCTGTGCGCTGCAGTGGCCGATCGCCAGCAGAGGCGACCGGGTACCTCCATTTATCTAGGCATATACTAATATATTATAATGAGGTCACCCGACCTCACTCCGAAAGAAGGACCTACCCGACCTAGATCTAGTGTGGAGGGCTCTTGTCCTTCATTTTATTGCTTCTTTAGGACAGAGCCTCTTCCAACCATCTCAAGGCAAAAGGTTTCTGCCACGCTCCAGTAGGTTGAGTGGGCTTTTGGCTTTCTGAGCATTTAAAACACTTGTTCTTGGCATTTCTGCAGTCCAGACAGGAGTTTTTCACTTTCAAACTTTAGAAAAAGGCTCGTTTTGAGCCTTTTTAGGTGCCGGGCTCGCGGTAGAAACGATTTGCTCCATAATTGTCCCAAGGCAAGGCGTCGAGCCTGTGCACCTAAAAAGACTCAAAACGAGCATTTTTCTAGAGTTTGAAGGTGAAAAACTCATGTTTGGACTCCAGAAATGCCAAGAAAGAGTGTTTTTGAAAGCACAGAGAGTCAAAAAACCATTCAACCTACCAGAGTGCAGGAGGAACGATTTGCTCCCAAGCTGGCCGCAAGAAGCTATGCAGCCGTGGCATGCGGGAGACGTTTTCAGATCCAAGCAAAAAAGGTGTCATGGAAGAACATTGGCAAACTCACAAGTGCCGGTCAAAGGCGCGTAGGTTGAATGGAATGTTTTTTGGGCTTTCAAAACGCTCTTTCTTAGCATTTCTAGAGTCCAAACATGCGTTTTTCACCTTCGAACCCTAGGAAAGTGCTTGTTTAGAGCACTCTCAGGCGGGTTCGAGGCCTTTCCCAGGCAAGTCTCCAAAGGTGGCAAAGCAGCGAAGCATAAAACTTTGGTCACACCACCGCTTGTTGCAAAGCCCGGAGAGAATCGCAGGCTCAAAGCCACGTTTTTTGGTTCCCCACTCTGCCATGAAGCCCGGACCGGCGGGGGCCAAATCGCTCCTACCACGCTCCGGTAGGTTATGTAATGTTAAGTGGGTTTTTGGCTCTCTTTGCTTTTCATTCTTTCTTGGCATTTCTGGAATCCAAACATGAGGTTTCACCTTCAAACTCTTTAGGTGCCCAGGCTCGCCGTACCCCCTTCCTGCCCGACCTCACCCTTATTTTCGTAAGTCAAATGACCTCACTTGATTTAGCAGGGTAAAATAATAAAAATAACATAAAATAGCCCACGACCTGCGGAATATTGCAATTTGCCCAGATTTATGGTTAATAACCATTGGTTAATCGATGGCCAATCATGATGAATAATTGCTAGTCATGGTTAGCCGATGGTTATTTATAGTTAATAAAGGTGAATACTGATCATGGGTGGTTGGGAAATCCGATGAAAACGGATGACTTTAGGAAAGTACCAATATTTTTTGGAATGGCTTGACCCCCAACAAAAGCAGTAGAAAATGGACGGTTACGTACTAAATTTACTAAATTACTAAAACATGAACATTGATATTTCCCCACCTGCCAGGTTAGGGTCTCTAGATTTTATCAGAGCTGGCCTGCCCGCCTCCGCCTCTTGCCCGCCTCCGTGTCAACTGCGAGCTCCAGATCTCAGTGGGCACTGCCGGACCACAACTGCGAGCGCCAGATCTCAGTGGGCGCTACCGGACTTCAACCGCGCAAGAGCTCAGCGGCACTGCCGGAAACAGTGAAGAAAGATATATAATTTTTGGAAACAAACAAAACGCAAGCGTTGAAAACTACAGGACACTACAAAGCGACAAGGTAGCTAACACCAACCAAAAAGGGGACGCACGTAAAACTCTCCGGTCTCCCGTTTGTTTTTGGCTCAGCACCCCGTGCGCGTGTCCACCGGACGCGTTCCTGGAGGCGGGGCCATGGTGGCTCGTGAGTGCCATGCAGGTCGTGCAGTCCGCGATCTACAAGGGCGGCTGCACGGGATCAACAAGATATACGGCATTATATTTTTGGTGTCCTCAGCACCCTGTCCCCAATGGGGGCCAATGGTTTCGTCAGTTGAAACGGGATATGCGCAAGTTGAATTTCTCTTTTAATACTCATCATTTCGAGCACCGGGAAGTATGATCGAGCACCGGGAAGTATGACAAATACTTTGGCCTCTCAGCCAAGCATCGCCCTTCCAGCAGTGGAATGACACTGCCCGTCACAAAATTAGGGAAGCATGGCGACGAATATCCTTGCATAAGTTTTTGGATAAGCTTAGAAGAGACAGTGAAGTCCTCCGGCATGTTGTTTATGGCGCATTGTGTGTCGCAAAGCTCGTGCACTGCATCAGGATTCGGGCAGCTCCATGAAAGCCATCGTGCTTGGGGCTGGTTTCAGCATTGCATGTTATGCTCGTATGCCGGAAAGATTTTCTGTGGTACTCAGGAAATCCCGGGATGGGACCATCTCATGTGGTATTGCAAGGCCTTTTCCTCAGGTAGACCTGTGGTTGATGTTGATGCCAGCTCGGCACGCCGCTTAGGGTGGCCCCAGGCTCACACTTCAGCCATGGTTGGTGGAGAAATCCTTACATATATCGTGAGCATCACGGTTTCTTCAACTAAAGGACCTGGCTGGGGCTGAGTGGTTCAAGAAACCCTCAGTCTCGCCAAGACAACACGCACTGCCGGACTTCAACCGCGAGCTCCAGATCTCAGTGGGCACTGCTGGACCTCAAGGAGCGCCAGATGTCAGTGGGCACTGCTGCACCTCAACGGCGCAAGATGTCAGATAGAATGCCGCAAAGAATGCCAGATAGAATGTTAGAATATACGTCAGGTAGAATGCCATGTAGAATGTCAGAATATATGTTGGATGGAATGCAAGATATAATGTCAGAAAATGTGTCAGATAGAATATCAGTTCATCTGGTGGGAATCATTCGAAGAATGTAACTCATATGTTGTTAGTATTTGTTAATATTTGAGCATAATACAATGCAGAACTGTTGGTTCTCCATGAAAGAATATAAAAGATGGACACCATAGGCCGCAAAGGGTAGCTCATATGTTTGAGGAGTTGAACTACCGTCTAGGCAAGATACCTGGCTATGCATTGCTCGGACTAAAGAGGAAGGAACCATGGCCACATAGTTGGAAATGTTCTCCAACCTGCTAAATTGAAGCCCCTTTAGCCAGTCGGTTGTTTCCACTGATGGATTTGGCGCAGGACATGGCAAGCGACCCCAAGGAAGTACGTCACTTGATCGCATTTGATTTGCACAGGAAGTCATCGACTCATCAGCAGTGGGTTTCTTCCATGTCATTAATACCTTCCCCCACATGAAAACTGATCCCCTGAATCACTGAAGCCATTTTTCAGTGTTGAATTTGTTCATTTTCGGGCCCATCTGAGGGTTCGTAAAATAATCCCAGGACGGGATTGTTTTCCCATTGTGAATTGCTAGAGCCGCTTGCCGCCTAGGCTATGGAATCTTCTATGCCATAGCCCAGGCGAGGAGCTCCTTTTCAGCGGGGCCTCAGGGAATTTACAAACAATGGAAGAGAGAGCTTCATTTTTTTTTGTTTTGTTTTGTTTTGTTGTTGTTGTTGGTGGTGGTGGTGGTGGTTGTTGTTGGTTGGTTGTTGGTTGGTTGTTGTTTGGTTGGTGATTGGTTGTTGGTTGTTGGTTGTTGATTGTTGGTTGGTTGGTTGGTTGGTTGGTCGGTGGGTTGGTTGGTTGGTTGGTTGGTTGGTTGGTTGTTGTTGTGGTTGTGGTTGTGGTTGTGGTTGTCGTTTGGTTGTTGTGTTGTTTGTGTTGTTGCTGTTGCTGTTGTTGTTTTTTGGTTTGTTGGTTGTTGTTTGTTGTTGTTGGTTGTTGTTGGTTGTTGTTGTTTTGGTTTTGTTGGTTGTGTGTTGTTGGTTGTTGTTGTTGTTGTTGTTGTTGGCTGTTGTTGTTGTTGGTTGTTGTTGTTGTTGTTGTTGTTGTTTTTTTGGTTGTTGTGTTGTTGTTGTTTTGTTGTTGCTGTTGTTGTTGTGTTGTTGTGTTGTTGTTGTTGTTGTTGTTGTTGTTGTTGTTGTTGTTGTTGTTGTTGTTGTTGTTGTTGTTGTTGTTGTTGTTGTTGTTGTTGGTGTTGGTTGTTGGTTGTTGGTTGTTGTTGTTGTTGTTGTTGTTGTTGTTGTTGTGGTTGTTGTCGTTGTTGTCGTTGGTGTCGTTGGTTGTCGTTGGTTGTCGTTGGTTGTCGTTGGTTGTTGTTGGTTGTTGTTGGTTCTTGTTGGTTCTTGTTGGTTGTTGCTGGTTTTTGCTGGTTGTTGTTGTTGTTGTTGTTGCTGTTGTTGTTGCTGTTGCTGGTGGTGGTTGTTGTTGTTGTTGGTTGTTGGTTGTTGGTTGTTGGTTGTTGGTTGTTGGTTGTTGTTGTGGTTGTTGTGGTGGATGTGGTTGTGGTTGTGGTTGTGGGTTGTTGGTTGGGTAATTTTTTTGGTTGGTTAGTTGGTTGGTTGGTTGGTTGGTGTTGGTGTTGGTGTTGGTGTTGGTGCTGGAGCTGGAGCTGGTGCTGGTGCTGGTGCTGGTGTTGTTGTTGTTGTTGTTGTTATTCCCAAAAGCTCCTGCGAATGGTTTTTCCCAAAGAACTGCTGCCAAATTCAACTTTTCACTTCGTTTGCACAACATCTCCTACTTCCTTTTCATCACCTACATCACCTACATCAACTTCATTTACATCACACACATCATCTACTTCAACTACATCGACTTCAATCATCTATATACTTCATCTACATCACAATCTGCATCACCTACATCACCTACATCACTTACATCATCTACATCATCTATATCACCTACATCACTTACATCATCTACATCAACTTCTCATCATCTACATCGCTTACATCATCTACAGCTTCTACATTGTCTGCATCAGCTTCAAGCATCAACTTCATGTGCATCACATTCATCCTCTACATCATCTACAGGTGCTCCATGTCTACATATCCCCTACAAAATTGCTGCAATTTTATTTACACAGGAGTTCCACAGGAGTTCTTACACAGAAGTTATTGCACAGGAGTCGTTACACAGGAGTAGTTACACAGGAGTAGTTACTCAGGAGTAGTTACACAGGAGTTTTTACATAAGAGTTAACTTCAAGGTGGTCTACTTGTATCTGAAGTCATACAAACTCCTATTTC